AGATTAGCAGCATGTGCGTGTATAAGTGTGTGTGAGTGTTTTCAGGGGGGTTGACAGGGTGTTTCTAGGGATTTGGATTGTACAAAAGAAACAAAAAAGCAAGACTGATGCCATAAGGCTTTCTATTCTCACATATCAGCTCTTATTATCTGTCATCTTTGACAGGAGGGGGAAAAAAAACTTTATCTGGAGGGAACTGTGTCCGTCTGGCCCCGTGCAAGAGCCATGCTTAGGGCCTGGTGCTCTCAGGCTCACACACAGAGAAGGTAATCGGCTCACTAGTAGAGTTAGGGAGTCAGAGAAAGGAGGTAAAGAGCTCTCACTAAGTGTGTCCTTTTCTTTGACTGGCTTAGAGCCCACCAGCATTCAGACCAGGTGCTCCAGGGGGACAGAGGGGTGAGGGGTCCATGTAGGGTTAATTTTCCCAACCTAGTGTGAGGCTACATCCTGCTGTTTGCTGTCTGACACTTCATATATATATACAGGACCTTAAGCAAATGGTGGACAATTACCAGCTTCGAAGACTAGCATGCCTGGAAATAACAAATCTATGCAATAAACATATACGCATACACACACATGCAAATGCACACTCATTACCCCCAATCAACAAGATGTATGCGCTTTGGGTTCTTTGGGTCTGTTGGGGTTAATTTGCAAAGCATTTATTACTTTATTATCATGTCATGTCTTTATTCACGTGATGCTCGCCATGCCATATGCATAACATTATAACGCCATAATTGCTGACACTTCAAGTGCAAGATTATTTCTTCCTTAAATGAAGTGATAGTGTGTTTCCATTGTTGTGGATGACAGGGGAGGAGACATAAGAGTTAATTAACTATGATTAGGAAGAGCTACAGTCGCTGAACAAGCCGGGGTTCTAGCTCAATACTCGCCTCAGTAATTGCTTCCTCCACTTTCCTTCCCTTCACTTTGCTTTCCTTTCCTTTCCTTTCCACTCGCTGCCCCCTCATACTCAGTATTTCCCCTTCTGTCCATCCATGCGTGAGAGATTTGCGTCTAAAAAGAGAGAACTGGAGAGCCCTCTGCTGACCAGATGTAGAAATGCAACAACATGAGTTCAACAGTAGATGAGGAGTTGTTTGTAGGCCACCTGCCCACTGAGCAATAGACAGCTATTAGACGTCAATTTTTTTAGACCTAATTTCAACAGTCTAGATCCTGTATACTTTAAGACAGAATTTAGACGTTGCACTTTTTCCCATTATTCGATAACCATTTATTTCAAAAAGCAACTGTGAGTTGCATAGCTGATCTCCAAGTATACCAAAATAGTTATAATAGCCGTTCAGTAACATACAGTGTAGTATAGATAAAGCCCAGATTTAGACTTGGTCTAAATTTAGACGTCTAAAAAACGTTCATTTTTATACCTGTGGTAGCCTGATTTTAGACCAGTCATCAAGGCTACATTTAGACTTATATTAGATCTCTTTTAGACCTAAAAATGTTCAGTGGGTGAGTATTTTGAGAACGTGTTTTTTTGCTCTGATTAAAATCCAGAGAAGCTGCTTAAAATCATCACGTTCTTGGAAAAAGCTTTGACTCGGCAAAGTTATTCCAGTAACTCTATAAAGTCTCCCTTAAGGCAAATGGGTCGAGCACTCACACTGAATATCAACCAAAATAGATAAACCTCAAATTTTGGAAATAAAAAAATAAACCAGAGTAACAAAATAATTTATTTTAATGCATTCTGAGAAAATTCCAAATTATTGTCTTATCATTTTGAGACCCTCACGCCAGAGACCATCTTTGTATCCCAACTCTGGTTCACTGTTGTTCACTTCAAGCTTGATAAAGGACAGAAAGTGACCTTAAAGCTAACTCTTCCTCTTTTATAGGAGTCAAAGACTACTTACCCCATGACTGTCAGAGGGAGTTGTGACAGTTGAACTGCACTTGTATGAGCTGCTTAATGATTATAAATCCAATCACAGTGGATCACCATCAACACAGCCCCTGTTTGGAAAAACTGGCCTCCTAAAATTCAGAAGGGACTCAAAGCATGGCAATTTAAAAAAACTAATAAATGGATAAATAGAACAACTATTAACCAAGTATGCTTGTTTTTTCAGGGGGATTGGTCTTCATTATCCTCTGGGGATTACCTGTTTAGACACTCAAGGTCCAGTTTTAATAAGACACGCCTGACTGAAAGGACCCAAAGATAATTCATTCTTAACTAACAACTCCAAAAGCCTGTAAATCACAGCTGCTTCACTAAACTCCACAATGGGAGCTATCAAGGACAGCAGTTCCACACCAATCAATGTTAGTGACAATACTCCAGCACTAGGATCTCATTTACCCATGGTGGTTGTGACTAAACGTGAAAACTTATGGCATACACCATCAGCTACAACCTGTGGTCTTCTGTTGGCAGTCTAACAAGTTCATAAAGAATAAGGAGTGTAGTCTGCTGCTGTGGGGTAAAGACACGACCACTTAACTGCAGAAGTCATACAGCACACCATGGCTTCAGCTCCTTGTCTTTACAGCTGACAGAGCTATTATTTATTTATTAAGTATGTACATTTTTAACTGAAGTTTTTCCAGCTAAAACAAGCCCAACTATACTTGACATAGAAGTGATCACTTACATTTTTTGATTCAATGAATACTCATTCCACTTTTTCTGTAAAGGCTTAGAACAACTTTAGAGGACAGTTTTAAATGTATAGACAGAAATGAAAACATCTAAGTATTTCCCGTATTGTATGGGCAGTGTTCTGGCAGCTGGGAATCATCAGAATATCGCAGTTAACAGGTAAAATTTCCTTTTCAACCCTTCAAAGTGTGGCCTGTGAAATACCAAGTCACCGCATTGGTGTTACAGAAAGGACATGCTGCTGCTCAAGCATTAATGTAAACATGCCGTATTGTCATTTACTTTTATTTTTGTGGATGGTTAGACAAATCTCAGAGACACTGAAGATATAATAGACAAATCCTTCTGCTTACTTTGCTTTTATCCTCATATTTGTTTTTCTACATCTTTAAACCATAGTATTTATACAAGCTTATATTGACCAAATAGTCATAAAAACTACTCAGGTCTATTTTTTTTCCATTACGGCCACAATGATATTAGGGATATTCAGATTCTGTCAATATAAGCTTATGAAGCTGCTAGTTTTAGAAACTGAGATGTTTGTCCTGTTTCTCAAGAATAAATCTTATTTTTTTTAATTTAGCCAATGAAACAACTGTATTTTAACTACACAATGTATTTTTTCACATTCATAAAATTGATGTTTTGACGTTTTTTTTATGATGTACAAAGAAAAAGAAAAAAAAACAAAAACAAGAGGGACATTTTTTTAATGCAATTCTTAATGCCTCAAACCAGTGAAGATGGTAGGAGTTAGTCAAGAAACAGCCATGTTTTTACAACTGCACCAAACCAGAATTTACTACGAGTATTACTTTGATTGGACTACTACAGCAAAATTGGATATTTTGTCAGAAGACACTAGTTAGACATGTAAAGGACAAGCAAAAAATATACTCTGATCTTAAACTTATATTCTTGTGTACCACCACAGACTGAAATAAACCACTTCATCATAAAAAAGTGATATTTTGCTGAGTTAATGGATATCCTCTGACGTCACAGACAACCAGCTGACCTCTGACATTTAATGGCATGGTGCTACATTACAGTTACACCCTGAAGTACACTTACTGTACATGAGTCACATGTACAGTCAGCTGTGTATGTGCAGTCTACATTAATTTACAACCACCATCATATTCTGTTTTGCAAAGTCTTATCACACAGAGTAGTAATTGTGTTTGTGTGTTTGAACACGTATCTTTACATACTTGATGAGTGAGTTCTTTGAAGCAAACGTGCTCGCCCCCTCCACCCTCCACCCTCCGCTCCTGCTCCTCGGTAGGAGCTGATGAAAGCTGATATGTGTGATTGAGAGTCCACCCGTTTGTCTCCACACGCTGCCCATTCATACTCATGAAAAAGGAGAACGATCTAATATTGTGGCTGTTATGATACTATCACAAGTCTGTGCTTCCCATTTGGATAACACTGAGGGAAGAATAGAGTGGGTCGTTTTTTTTGTCTGCGTGGATGCCTGTCAGTGGATTATCTATCACAAGTGTGGGGAGGGAGGGGGGGCTCTGGATTTCTAAATTTAAGGTCTCTGTGTACGTAGGAACATAATAATCCAAAGCAAAGAAAGAAAAGAAAGAAGTAAGATTTCAATGAGGGGGTGAAATGTGATGGGGGTGAGGGAGGCAGGTGGCTGGCCTGCTGTACACCACCCAAACCCACAAACAGCTGTTCATTTCTCAAAGCCCCCTTGTGGCCCCCCTACAAGCATCAATTCACCCTCTATCCCCCCTATATCCACCCCTCTTTTACTCCAGCCCCACCCCCACCCTCTATCAAAACCTACTCTTTCTGTCTAGTCCATCTATCCAGTCCTCCCTCCAACCTCACTCGGCTCTAGCTAGCCTTCTTTGATAATGTGCCAAAATCAGGACAGAGGACACAGCTGGTTCAATCATGCACCGCTCACCTCCATCTCTTTGGACTCCACATTTGCAGCATCAATAAAACAATCATAAAATGAATAACAGACGGACACAAATGAGTGAGAAAAAAAGAAGATTTTTACCCACTCCATGTAAAGAAAAAAAAACATTTTTGCACAATAAATAATGTTCTTTTATAAAACTTTCACACTGTTGTTCCAATAAAATAAAATGGTGATTTGTGGTCATTAGTCAGTAATGCATCTGCTTTTTTTTTTTTTTCAGAGATAAAGCTGAGATAGTTGCAGAAAACTGATACAAAACAATAGTGACACTGACAGCATGCTACTTGATATAAGTGGTGCTGATTTATCCATCATGTCATTCCAGCCAGTATTTACATCCCACAAGTGTGCGGCGGAGTCCACAACTTAAAAAGGTCAGTCTTTTCTTAACCCTCGGGGCAAGTGGAAGACTCACTTGCTGGCACGCAACGCACGAGCCACCAGCATGAACACCATCCCAGAGATGAGCTCCAGAGGCACGCCGGCAGCTGCCACCATGAATGACAGGCCGTACAGGACTGATACGTTTGCATTGGGACAGGTTTCTCCTCTCTCTTGCAGGATGTAGCGCTTCACCTCCACCGCCTCCATCCACAGAACGTAGAGCAGCAGTATGAACAGGAACAAGCAGGCTGTGGAGAGACAGGCGAGTGTCAGGGGGGACACAGTTACTGCTGTGAGTAACACTAGAGGAATGCAGCACCTACTCATCTCCACTGAGACTGGCACTGTTTGAACCTACTGTTGTTATAGCGACAGTTTTGCAGAGTGACATTTCCTGCTCTCAGTGTTGAGAGTGTGTCTATCATGTGACAGGTATGAGCAGCTGACTGCAGCAACATGTGTTTGTGTCTGTGCACACACATACAGTATATCTGTGGAAGTATATTTAACAGTGCAGACGAACACTTCAAACTCCACCCATGAGCGCGGGCTATGTTTTTACCTGCAGTTATGAGGAATGCACCACCCACTTTGTACAGCTTGTGGCTGTAGAAGGGGACGCCACAGAGCAGGAGGAAGCCTCCAGTGAGAGCAGCAACCAGGGCGAGGATTATCAGCACGGTCCAGAAACCTCGAAACACTGCAGGAAATAGAACCAGGACACCATGAGAGAAATAGCACCTGCATAAAACCACTATACTGTGCATCTGTATCCACCACCAAGGTCATACACTCTGCTTTTTCAGAAAATTTGGGAACCTAGTAAACCCCTGGCACAACCTGTGAACTGGCCCCAATTTCCATACTTTGGCCTGCTCCAAGATTTTACCTAATGATCCTTTACTTCCTATCTAAGTTCTGGTGGACTCGGCTACTGCTGCCCCCACATGCTTTCAAAAAAAAAATCTTTTCTTTCTTTCTTTCTTTCTTTGTTTATCTCAAACTTTATGAACAAAAACAACAAAAGAACAACTAAAAACAAAAACACTGAACAAAGTAATACATATGTACACCAAACAACTGTACATGTCAAAGATAAATTTACACAAACATATGTGTGTCAAAAACAAGCAGTTGGAGAAGGAACAGAATGAAGCAAAGCGCTAGTACTGCCCCTTCCTTGCAAATCAGAGCCAATAATGAATGAGGAAAAAAACAACTCGGTGTGGGGAAACAGCTTGTCCAGCTCTACATGGAAAAATTAAATTCTTCATTTTTAGGAGGTACTTGTCAATTCTCTTACCCACAAGTGATCCCAGTCCCCCCTTTGCTGAGAAACTCTCTGTAAAGCTATCATGGGAGCTTCACTGTCAACTGCAACAGATAGGCTTAGCTCTACCACATAATTTAGCTAATTTAAGAAACACAAACACAAATGTCACTGAAAGCGTACGCTTTATTTAGAAAATATTTCAGCACTGTGCTGTCAGAAAGCCTGTTCTTATTTGGCTCTATTCATAGATGCGACACATGGGACATACGCGTGTTCACCTGCCTATCATCATTTCTAAAGAAAACCCATATCACATCATTTTGACGTGTATGACGACTCCTTAAGATGGTTTAAAGATTTGCAGTTCTCCCTATAGACACAATGCCAGAACCTGTCTTAGCTGAGTGCAATGACTTCTATAAGAAAAAGTCATGATAAAACATGTCAATTACTAATCTGTAGGTGTATTTTGTCACCTATAATAGAACCAGGTGAGCCATTCTTCTCTTTTAGTGTTTGTATCTCACTTTATATGAAGTCAGTAGGTTCAAGGTGTCTCTGCTAGATATGAGAGAGGTATCAATCTTAACTCTTGACAAAGAATTGAATAAATTCTCTAAATGTCAAAATATTTCATTGCTGGATTTTGTAAAGTGTTTAAGTCCCACTCCGATCTTTTTCTTTCTTTTTTTCTTTTTTCTTTTTTTTGTTATTACTTAAAGTGTTATCAGTGGTCTTTAAATTGTGATTATGAAGTTTTTAGCCAAAATCACGTAACTTGTGTCATTTTTAAGGGCTTTTCTTCTGCAGCGCTCCAGTAGCTCATTAGCGATTTGCCTCTGAGTCGTGGGTGGAGACAGCACTGATCTGCACACTCATCTTCACGCTAGCTTGCAGCCTAACATAGCTATTCAGCTCTCGGACTTTAATGTCGTTAGGGACATGATGAAAGCTAAAATCATAATAAGCTTTCTTACAGGTATTCCAATCCGCTGACTTATTAACACGCTAATTCTGCGATTGTCCTCTTCTCTGAGTCTGGCCTGCAGAGCGGATTTCCGGGGGCGGAGCTTGGAATTGTGACGTAAGAAATCTCACTGCGTCTGAACCTGCTGTTTGGGTCTGCCAGAGATTCACAGCGATTTGAACACAGAAATACTTGAAAATGCAATTTCGCACCTATTTTTCCCATGATACGTCCTGTAGCATCAGAAAAATGCCATATGAACATGTAGACAACAAGAAAAACATGATTTTCATCGGAGTGGGTCTTTAAGTATTTCAGCTTCTCTCTCAAATTAGCTACATGAGCAAACACTGATCCATGAAATGTAAACACCACTTTTGCATTGTTGGTTTTCTCTATTATTCAGATGCATTTTTGAGGTTTGACTGTTTAAAAATTCACAATTTTCCAAATCTCTAAATGTTAATTGTCAGAAGTTTGTTGCATTGTGTATGAGCATGTTACCTGCTGTAGCATCATAGGTTGGGTGAGGCACCTGTCCAAGCGCAACAGGCAGAGGGAAGAGGTAACCATGGACACAGAGCTTAGATTCTGGCTGGTTTGCTTCAGAAAGAACAAATGAAAAAAAAGATTAAAAAAAAAAACGTTCATATTATCAAAATAAAAAATGTTTTGAAATACAGAAAAACAAGAAACATTAACTGAAAATGAGGCCTATATCTTGGGAAAAGCAAAAAGCACCCCAGACTCTGCCAAATGCCAGCTCATTTTTCTGGCTTCCCCCATACATTTCTGTCATATATTCAAATTACAGACATTTTTCTTCTCTGCACTTGTTTGCATGTCAAGCCAACCACATTTCTGAGCATGAGACATGCAACACATTGGACCAGCCCCAACAAAAGCACTCTGTCTATACAAGGTTGACATACTGAAGAGGGTGGCCAGGACTGCATGTGTTGTGGGCTCCACCTGAAACACGCATCTCCAGAAAAAGCCCTCGTGGTGCAGAGTGAGAGATGGTGGAGAAGCAGTGATGACTTCCACTACCGGGATCTAAAATGAAGAAAAGAAACAAATGTACATGTAAAACAAACAGAGACATGGACACTAAAACTCCTCCTGATGGATGGACCTTTATTTCTGTCAGCATTGTCAACACGTATCAGCGAGCTGTGTGTGTCTGTGTGATTCTGTACTTCAGTGGTGCCACAGGATCAAACATGGTTCTGATTATGGTTTGCTGTCTGTGAGGTTTTCGAGGGGAACTTATGAAACACGCATGAGTGATACTCTCCATTTGCTTGTCAAAAATATGATGGATGGTGCTGAAAAACACACACAGCAACTTTAATCATCCTATTTTATTGAAAATGAAAGACTTTGTTGTGCCATGATGCTGGGGAGAGGTTCACTGAGGGATTAGCTTTTGGAAATATATCCCTTACTCTGCATTTTAGGCACTTTCTCAATAATACAGAAATGGCTGGGAAAATAAAGGGGCATTTCACTGAAGTTACACATAAAAGCATGACTCACTGGGTACTTTGTTGAAACAGTTATGTGGTAATTCTGCTGTAGTTTTGTGAAGGCGGACAAAAACTAACACTGGTGATGTCATTGGCTATCCTTACCTCCAGACCACCAGGGTGAAACCGTGCTGCTCGGGTGGCCCACTTCTTTCCAGGATGAAATATCTCGACAAATGTTGCCTGTTGTATTTTAATTCACATGAAACTATGGGCTGACTTTCATGACTCATATAATCCTCAGCTGTAGTTTGTTTCCAACAATTGTCATGAGCAGATAACTTTAAGATACTGCAGTTATAGAAGGAGAATAAAGTAATAAAAGTATTTTCATATAAGCCTGTTTGTCTGAGAGTATGAATGCATACTGACTACAGCATCCATCTCATAGCATGGCTGTTCATAGCAGCTTTACTTTAGCTGTAGACATTGAAAAAGTCTGTAACATGGAAATTATGGACCCTTAACCACACATGGAGGGTCTGAAAAGAAAAGCTGTCCGAGTTGTTGGAGAGTTGTGAGCTGAACCCATCGTAAAACTTGTTAAATTCAAGTTTGACTTCCGCTCAAGTTTATTTGTATGTTCGACCTCATCATCATTTTTCTTTTCCAACCTTTCAGTGTAAGACTTCTCATCTTTAGGAGTTCTTTAAATATCTTGTAGTGGCATTGCATGCAAGCCACTGTCTACACGCCATATGATCAGGTTCCACTCCGGTCTTTTTGTGGTCCCTGCATGTGTTTTTTCAGTGTTAAAAATAATGTGCTGCTGTGACCATTATCTTGTTAGGAGCAATTCTGGCTGCAGGGAGTAAGTTTTGCATTTGCTTGTGTATAAAAAAAACACACAGTGTATCTTTAATGTCAAGTCTAATGTGCACACATCTGTCCTACCTCAGTCCCATTGGCATCTTTTTCACCAGTTAGTGTTGTTTGTGTCGGCCATGTGTGCGGTCCACAGTCGTCACTGGCCACCAGCCAATAGTCTGTACTGAAGGCTACAAAGAAACACAGAGTCCCCAATATGCCAAATATCCCCCCTGCCAAGGTTGCAGCTCCCACCCTCATAACTCCAGTTTATCACCTCCTTTACTGTGCTGCTGCTTCTCTTCAGGTCAGTTAATCCTCAGCTCCTCGCTGTGGCCCACTCTGCAGCCCTCTGCCCAGCCCCAGTCCCAAAGCAAATAGCCTGGCTCCCTCAGCCACTCCCTGGCATGCTGGGAGCGGTGGGGCAAAGACGCTTCCGTGACTGAGGGGGTCAGGCGGGGGGACTGGAGTTATTTTGGGATGCAGTAAGCCTGTCCTTGTCAAATTACTGGCGGTGTGCTGTGCATTTGTAAAAGAAACAAGGAGAGGCAGGATTGGTTTGTGTGTGTGGACAGCGAGTATCAGCGTTTATGACTGCGAGGTATTTCTGAGGTATGTGTTACACTCTGAGCGCCACTTTGAAAAGAAATTAGACAAGGGACGCGGATGGCTCTGAGACCTCCAGCAAAGGTTCTCCTGAGGTGGAAGAGGAGCTTTATTGAAGCTGGAAAACACTCGTAATGATAAAACCAGAGGATGAAGTTTTTTTCATGCACTCCACAGCTTTAATTGGAGGTTATCCATGAAATTGGCGAGGCCTTTTATCAAACACTCCTCAAGCCCACAGCTCCCTGCTTGAATAAATACCAGGTATCACAGTATGAAGCCATCCTAAAGTGACCTAACACACTGAATTCTTTGATTTATTCTCCTCTGCTCTTCTCTTTCTCACAGTCTTTACTCATTACTTCTCCTCATTCTCTAAAACAAAGCTCAGGTGTTTCCTGGGGGCTCCTCCCACAGTGGTTTGGTTCTGCACAGAGACCGGGTCCTCTCTGGAAGTAGAAGAAGAGTTTGGAGTTTCTGCAGTCTGAGCTGAAGCTGGTGAGACTGATGTTTCCTGGAAGACGGGCCTCGGGCTTATGGAGCACACTGCAGAGAGAGGAATGAGAGAGAGCAAAGAGGGCAGAGGCAGAAATGCCAAAGCAGAGCTGTCAGGGTCAAAGGTCAGGAGGTAGAGCGAGGCAAAGGGTGGTCTGATAATATGTCTCCAAGTTTTTCACACAAAACAGAAGTTCAGAAAAATAAGACCAGGAGTGGAGAGACAAAACTTAAACTGCTGACTGTATGGGCATATACTGTTATTCTTTGTCTTCAGCCCCTATGTTGACCAATAACTGTCTGCTTTCTAAAAAACATCCATAAACATGAATACATACACACGCTTAGTCTGCACGAGTGTCCATACTTTATCTAAAACATGGTTTTACAGACTAATGGTGATTTTACCTGTGTGAGACCTGCTGAGTCCTTTTCTTGGTCTGCCTGAGCCGCTGAACTCTCCATCCTCTGCCTGCTACAATAAAAGGACACATGAAAACATGTTTGGTGCAGAATAATCGCAAGTGTAATCCAAAATCCAAAAAGTAACATTGATTTTAAATAACATTGATTCAAAAACTTATTGATGCTGTCTGACCTTTTGCTTTGCAACAAATACAGGACCATTGACTTGACAAAAAAGCTCTTGTCTCTTCTAGAGTGATACTGAGATTGTTTTTTCTTAAATTCATATTCCTTTTCCTTTGTGCTTCAATCTAAAGGAAGTGTAGCAAGTAAATATTTTAAACAGGTATAAGGAGGATTTTGTCGGACAATTTCAAAAGTGATCTCAAGTTGCCTTTTTAGCCCAAGGATGAATACGGTGTGCTGTACTTTGGGAGCTCAACCTTTTCTTTATTGTATGAAGTTTAAAGGTACAGTGTGTAATAATCATAGACTGTATAATAAATGGACAAATGTCACCAATTTGTTTCTGAAGTTTTGACGTCTACTGGCAGACATCACCATATTGGAAATGATTACTCAACCTAAATTTCAGTCAACCTCCCAGAAACAGGCCTTTAGCTTCCTTTCAGATAGCTACAGTGTGCCCCTCTGGCTACTAAGTTAGTCCTGCCTCTGATTTGCTGATCTTGTAACCTTAACAACCATTATGAATGTGTCACAAAAGAAAAAAATCTCTCACTGTACAGTCGGTGCTGTGGGAGCCCTGAGCTATTCAGACCAAAACTGGTTTCGAACCAAGCTAAGACGTGCTTTCCAGTGCTTTTACAGCCAGCCTCAAGAGGAAACAGCAAGAAGTGAAAAATTTTAGGGGTATCTAGTGGTTAGATCTAGGACTGAAACACTGCTTTGCTCATTCTTTTTGTCAGTGAAGCAATGTTGGCCTTCAAGGACAAAAAGTCTTGCAATGCATGACAAGTATGTTCCTCATTGTTGAGCTTTAACCATCAAAAAAATGATCAGCACATATATTTTGGGAGCATTTTACATAGCTACTCAATACAAACAAAAAATGCATGTTACTAGTTTGTCTGTTTTGTTTGTTCACAGGAAGTGAAACAGAAACTTGACCTTAACTCATACTGTATGTATCATGAGCTAAAATAAAGCACCTGGGTGAAAGTGTATCTCTCTCCCAGACTCTGATGTCTGTGCAGGGGCTTTCTCATTCTGTCCTTGTTGGCGTCCTGGTTCAGAGTGTGTCTGCTGTAGGCTGGTGTCTGCTGGAATAACAAACAAACATCATCCAGAAGAGTAGATTAACAAGACATAACTTTGGTTCATGTCAAGTGATTCCCCAAACTAAGACCAAACTGTGAGTTTACCTTGTTGTTGAAGCTTTGGAGGTTTCTGGAGAGAATACGCCTGATGCTGTCCATCTCTCCTGGTAAGAGGGGGCGGCTGTGGGAGCGAGGGTCCACTCTGAAATATGTGAGACACAGAAATATGAAGTTCACACAGAGTTTAGAGAGGCAATGAAAGAACTCTTCAATAAATGAACTCCTGCATGGCAGAATAGATGAAGATATTTCAGAGGCACACTTTAATCATTATGAAGCATTTTATTTTAAAAAGATTAAGGTACACAGACAATAAATTCTCCTAATTCAAGTCCTTAATGTTTGCCACAAAAAAAGAGAGAACAAATAATGCTAAAAATAGTTTTCTTACAGAGGGGGTGTCTCTTCATCTCCCCTCTGCTCCCTCCTCTCCAGCTCCTGGTAGACTCTGAGGATGCTGGAGCGAGCCTGGTGATCCTCACGGATGAGGAAACGGCGAAGGTACTTCCTGTTGAACTGCTCAAACCTCATACATACACAGTTATAAAACACCACAGTAGATTGAATAGACATACTGTCGTCCCGAACCAGGACCATAACTGAGAACTTTTGAATCTGGTATTTGCTGCCACCTACAGGTGATCTCAGGTTCAAATTCTTAGACACAGAAATCTGAGCACAGAAAATAAAGGTAAAACATAAAAAACTAACTTGTCTTTCCAGTAGTGCTGTCCCCAGTAGCCAACCACGTCCTCTATTCCTGCCAGCAGGTAATCAATGAGCTAAAAGGAGGCACAGTGTTAAAGTTTCATTTAGGAGTTTCTCTCGTTATTTTTTGTATTTTTTCTTCTTCTTTAGTTTTCATGCTTCAGATCATCTATTTTGTCCATTTCTCCTATCAGAGGAAAAAAAAAATCAATAAAAAAATAGGTAAATTTATCATATAGCTTTATTACTCTATTACTATTATTACTCTTTAAACTCTTTCTGTAAACAGCACGATTTTTACAAGTATAAAATTGAAATGTTTAAATTTCCACTCTAGAGTTGAATAATAACTAAAAATAAAAGTGATCTAAAAACAGCTACAATACGGTTGTAATAATGTTAAAATAGATTTGATAAAACAAGAGTAGGACATTTTCATAAAACAGCTGTCAACTTTAAAACTCAGATAAAAGTGCATACACTGGTGGGTCTTTGTGCATATGGTGTCAGTGTTTGCATCAAAAGTCAGGACATTGTCAGTAATTGTCCCCAGACACTCATAATTTTGCACCACCTAAAGAGCCTGATTAAGGGACGCTGGCCTTTGCAGTGGTCCTTCCTCTTTTTGGAGCTCAAGGATCTGTCATGAATCTGTGCTTGGTGCACTTTTTTGCTCTTTTGACCGGTGCTTGTGGATGAAGTGATAAACTGATGATTTTTTGATGTGATTTTAGCCAATATGGTGAGTTCCACTACAGAGTCATGACTGTTTTTAATGCAATGCTTCCAGAGGGATCAGCGATCATAGCTATCCAGTATCATTTATCAGCCTTTTCCTTTTTGAACTGCGATTTTACCTCATCTTTGAATAATAGTGTGTATCATGGTTGGTAAATCCTTATTTCTTCACAATTATACCCTGAGGAACACTGCACCTAGTCATGTTACTAACTTGTTGCAAGCTAATAGGATCAGCTCAAGGTTAGCTCCTCTCTCTCTCTCTCTCTCTCTCTCTCTCTCTCACTCTCTCTCTCTCTCTCTCTCTCTCTCTCATTCACTGATCTGATCTGGCTGTTTTGATATGTGTTGCTGTCATTAGATAAAAATGAGTGAATATTTTTCTGAAACATTTTTTAATGTCAGCATTGATTATTTCTTTTTTTTAAAACTGTCTTTAAGTAGTTTGCAAACTTTCAACTTATCCAGCTGAATTGAGGTCGTACATTACTTTTTAAGTGATACTTTGTATATGATCAAATTATGGACATATCTTCTCCCAATTCTGATCCCCCTCACCCTGCTGTGGATCTCCTCACTGACAGTAGGCAAAGCTCTCTTCTTTCTCTTCACATCCAGCAGCTCTACCAGAGGCTTGATGGTCATTCCCTGCAAACAAACACAACAAACTGAAAAAATGTAACCAAACATTACAAAAAAAAACTTTAGGGAGGTGGTGTTTTGTCAAAATTTGAAAGGAGTTTTGTTGTCACACCTGTACAAAGACGGTGAAGAGAATGACCACAATCGTAGTTGTGATGAAAAGTCTCTTCTTTGGGAAATCATCGATCAGGAAGACGAGAGAGAAACAGATTGCCCCTCTCAGGCCTCCGTAGGCAATGATGAACTGGTCTCTAAAGGTCACAGCATTCCTCCTGAGCTTGTTCACCACAGCAGTCAGCAGGAGGACACCTTCAGGGCAGGGACACATATTGATTCGTTAGGTTTGATCATTTTAACCAAGCGCCCCCCTGGCCAACAGCTTCACCGATACATCAGGAGAACACTAAAGCTACCTGAGGCCCTCCAAATGAGGCAGAGCAGCAGAGTGGAGCAGACAAAGGGCCAGCTCCACATGTGGACATCCTGGATTGTTGACACACCCAGGAAGATGAAGATGAGGGTTTCACTCACGCTGCTCCACATCTTTAGGAAGTACTGGATGCTGGTGTTGCTGCGCTCTGAAACGTTAGCCTCCACATACTGCTTCATGGTCACGGCACAGGTGACAATGCTGCAAATAAAAGGAGAAAAATATGACCTATAACTCAATGTTGGTGTGCTGGTCACTTCCAAACATGGATTTGGGGTGAAGTCATACTCACGCCATGATCCCAGAAAGGTGGAGCATCTCTGAGGTCAGGTAGGACAGGTAGGAGTAGAGAAAGACAAAAAGCGGGGCAATGACCTGAGCTCTGGAGGTGAAGCGTGAGGTGAGAGCTGCCAACAGACCAAAGAAGAGGCCCACAAACAGGCCACCAAGACCCACTACAACCACCCTGCAGCCCCCAAGCAGCACGTCCAGCCCTGACACTGTGGGCAGGCGGAGGAAGGACTCAAACAGCTTGTAGAGCACCTGCATGTAAGAGGAGAGACGTATCATGCAAATATTACTGTATTTTCCTTGATTCTGAGACACAGCTGGTGACCTTCCCTCCCCTCACCACAGTCACAGCATCATTGAGCAGCGACTCTCCAAACACCAGGATATGAAGCTGATCGTTCACATGCATCTCCTGGAAGACGGAGAGCACGGCCACGGGGTCCACGGCCGCTATCAGAGAGCCAAACAGCAAGCAGTGGAGCAGAGACACATCACCCAGAGAGTTCTGGGCCAGCAGACACACGCCATACAGGGACAAGCCGATGCCCAGAACGTTCCACAAGGTTCCCAGCACTGCATACCTGGAGGAGAATGATAGAAAGGTGGTGTAATTACTAAAAACAATAACAATGGTGACAAAAACACAACATATTTCTTTTGCTTTGACCAGCAGTGATTACTATTATTTAGTGAGCACTAAAAAGGACACTTACAAAATGTATGGTCTCAGTTTTATAGTAAAAGTGTTGCTAAACAGTAAAACAGCCAAAAAAACAGCAGTCAAACCTGGATATCTGATAAGTGTCAATGCATTATTGTCCTTTCTCTACTTCTGGTTCTAATTTGCACAACTCTGCATGTATAAGCTGCAGTAAAACACCTTGTTGATTCCTCAAAGAAACATATAAGAGATTTTAACTGAAAACAGTCGCCTGATGTCTCAGGATGACGCAAATGAAAATAGAGGGGAAGAACCTGCATGGCGAGGCTGAAGGGCATCAAATTTACAACAATGAATGAATTCTCCACTCAGCAGAAGGTTACTGAAGCTGGGTCTCCACTATAATCTTACACTTTGCTAAATGATAACTGATGCTTTTACAAATAAGGGGATCCTGCAAAAGCTCTATTTGCATTAGTTTTTGAGACAATAAAAAGGTGACGTGTTCTTGACTTTCTACATAAAAACTAAATCATTCAAAGTATTTTCCTGTTCAGTTTGGACAACCATGGCCTACAGATAAAAAGTCTTCAAATGTTAAGTTAGATGCAGACACAATCATGCAAACTGCTGACTTGATAGTTGTCCAGAAGACCATCATCCACACCCTCCACAAGACAGGAAAGCTACTGAGAGTCATTGCTGAAAAGGCCAGGTGTTCGCAAAAAGCTGTATCGAAGGATATTAATGGAAAGTTGACCGGAAGGCAAAGATGCACAAGCTTCAGGGATGACCACATTGAGAGTCAAGATTGTGGTCATCACTGTTAAGAAAAGTTGACATGAAAACTTTGGAAAGCTTCACTGAGGCTGATGTAAGTGCTGCCACGCACAGATGTCCTCAGGAAGGGGCTAAAACTGTCACATTCCTGATATTAAGCCATTCCTGAACTAGAGACAATGCCAGAAACCTCTTATCTGGGCTTAGGAAGAGCGGGATTGCTGCTTAGTTGATCTACGTCCAGCAGGACTTGGCACCTGCCCATAGTGCCTAAAAAAACTACTACCAAATGGTTTGCCAACTATTATACTACCATGCATGATTGGCCAGTCAAGTGGCCTGACCTGAGCCCAATAGAGACTCTAAGGGGTGTTGACAAGAGGAGGATGAGAAGAACCCAAAACACAAAAACACAGATGAGCTGAAGACCGCGATCAAAGCAACCCGGGCTTTACACCTCAGCAGTGTTGGGCTCCAGGCCACACTATAATGATGCAGTGATATGTGGTAAAAGAGCCTCAGAAATAACTCTTTTGTGATATTTAATTTTGCTCAGATGCACTTGTATGTTTGTTGATGCCATGCTGACCCTTCCAAAGTTAGAGTGTAAATGTCCACAAACATGTCAACCACGATTACCCTTAAGGTAATATTATAGCAGGCAAAAACTTGCTAAAGACAAAACAATGATACCAGAATGTTATTTCATTTTTAAGCATCTGGACACATTTGACCTGATAACAACACTGAATGAAGTTAGATGGTCACCAAAATCAAAACTGTGTAGCTTTTCATCAGTGGTTATGAAATCTCAGTCAGGACTGGCATGATTAATAACCAACAATGTACCATCTCTTGGGTAAAACTACTACTACTAAAAAATGAAACTGAAAATAAAAACATTGTTTTGCTTTTAAATCTTTATGTGTGACCAAAATACCGCTGTCTGCTTTGAGACATTGAGAAACTGAAATCCAGCAGGGGGAATTCAAACTTAATTTTAAAACAAATCTCAGCTTTAGAAATAGAGAAAAATAAGAAAAGAAAAGTGTGCCACTTTTTACAAAAAGATGAACTCCAGCATGCACACATTTACTGAAGTACAACTGACCAGAGGATGGTGCCCAGGTTTTCAAAGAACAGCCTCCCTGGCAAGAAGTATCCAGCATCCAAAACGATGGGCGGGAGCAGGAAGAGGAAGAAAGCATCAGCGCTGAGAGTCGGAGGAGCTGAGTGGCGAACGCCGTAGATCACCCCTCCAACCAGGAGGCCCACCATGATGAGGAGACAGCTCTCAGGGACAACAGCGGGGACTCGACCTGACCAGTGGAAACCTGAGGGACAGAGACAATCATTTTACATTTCACAGGAACTTCAGGAGTTTCCCTCCAGACAGGTGTGCATGTGTTAATAATTCAATACACATAGTCTACATTCAAACTTAAATTCAATAGGCCTTTATTCAGTCATCACACCCTAAAAAAGGAACAAAATCTGAAACTTTTAGGGTCAGAAATCCATGAAGTTATAGTTTGCATGATTGTTTTTCTCTCAGAGCTTCTTAGTGTTGAAGAAGTATGACATCTAAGAATAAATATGAATACATAAAATCTAGGATAATAGACTACATAACCTTAACCATACATTTGATCAAGTATCAGAGCAGATGATGGACAATTCACTTCAGAGTCTACACCTCTAATAACATAAAACCAACTTTTCCATCATCTAATCTCCTATTTAATTTACAGTATGAGTGGAAAAACCAAGTGAAGCTCACCCAGCTTGGCCAGTGAGGCCAACATGATCCACAGCACGATCTCAAAGGGAGCCTGCACATGGTGATAGTCCATGCTGAAAACCCTCAGAGCCATTGGCACATCCACAGACGGGCTGCCATCACTGCTATTCATACCCAGCACAGGGGGCAGGTTGTGGGGCTGAGGGAGCTCAGCAGGGGGGGTCAGGGCCAAACATGCAGGCCAAACCAGGCAGAACAAGAGAGTCCACAAAGCCGCCATCCTGCAGCCATGCTGGGAGAACAGGAGAGAGAGGCAGGGAGAGGCAGGGACAGGGGTTTTAGGGGGGAGGGCAAGCGGTACACATGTACACACACACACACACACACACACACACACACACACACACACACACACACACACACACACACACACACACACACACACACACACAAATGCACACAGACACAAGCACACGCGTATTCATTCAAAACAACCTGACCATGACTTCTGCTGCCACTAATGTGCACAGGAATCCCTGAGCTAGCACTGATATCCAACCAGAGATTAACACACAGACACACACACACTCACACATAATCACTTTGGCATATTTTTTGGGGCACACGCCAAAACTACCCCATTTCAGGGACACCTGAACCATCAACAGATTAGATAACAGGTACTAAAAATGAAAACAACCTCATATTTCACATACAAACATCAAATTATACCTCCAATAGAGTAAATCCACTCAAATTTTCTCCTTTTTTTATCATTAAACTTCTGCTGGAATTTCACTTTCAATATCAGTCAATTCAAAATATTACAACTAAGCTTAATTTTAAAACTCTATAAACTAAGTATGTGAAAAAATATATATAAAATTGAACATCAATTATGACAAATATAATTCATTAACCTAAAAACTGAGCATATTTGTAAATACACTCATCTGGGACATTCTAGTTTTGAAATCAGTCAGTAACCAGTGAATCAAAGATAAACCAACTGGGACTTGGTTTCCTGTGCAAATTAGACAGGACCGTTTGTTCTATGCCAAAACCAATTAGCCTCTGTTTTTGAAAGTAGTTCAGTGCTTATCCATTTTAAAAACTTAATTTTTATGAATTTTTTATCTGATGCATCAGTTTGGTCTTACGGAAAAGCGCTTAGAGCATCTTGTATCGCTTCATCAACCCCGTATATCCCCACTCATCCTGAGAGCTATACTTTCATGTTGTAAGCAGGCTTTACGGACTAAACTTAATTTTCATGAATTTTGCTGGAAATAATGATTATTAATAACAATGCTGTTTGGATATTGCTGCACAAGTATGGGGAGGAAAATCCTGATTTATCTGGGACTGTTAGCAGAAAGAAGTGACCAGCATCTACAGGTACACTCAAAAATCCTTGTTGCAGTGAGCTGAGTGACTTTTGGTTATGAGTGAAGAATGATGATGTTTAGAGGCAGAGTGTGGTCCACAAACATGGTCTTAGATAGTGTTCATGAGGACCTGAGTCCTGCAGGATGTAGTTCTGTCTCATGCTGACTGTATTCACCCGCAGACCTGTTTGCTCAACAGTCAGACTTCAGAGGGATCAGATGGGGGCCTTTGTTGGTCAACACCAGACTTGTGAAGATTCTGGAAATCAGTATGTAGCCTATGTGGCTTACTGACAAATACAACTGTGTCAAAAAATATTGTTTTGCAACCGACTCACAACCAAATCTCCATCCTGTCTTTGTCAAACAGTTATCTACAAAGAAAACACCACCTTGTCAAATATGAAAAACACAAAAAACGTCCTTTTAAAGTGTCTTATCTCACATAGGAAACAGATATTTAAAGAGAGAAAAATATCAATGTGATGCTATGCTACTCAAGGTGGCATATCAGCCAATACTGACAGCTAGAAGCAGAATTGACACTCTATAGCGACACTTGACTAAACGCTCTTTTCAAGATTAAAGTGTGAACTTTACTCTTAGTAATTACATTTACTATTGGTCCAGTGTTTCACAGAATAGTCCTTATTGTATTCTGATTTCATATAAATGATTAAAAATTGAAGAAACCTTACGTCAATATTACAAAAAGGTTTTGATGTAGCAAAACAGCTCCATGAACTCGGTCACATTCCCAACAGTCAGTGAAACAAAGTCCAAATAAAAGATAAAAGTCAGGTAGACAACTTTTCTAACCATGTCAGGCATGTTTTCAGGCATGCTTTGAACAATACTCTATTTGTAGCATCATTGCAAAAAGTTCAGTCCAGAAAAACTTGTTTTGTCTTTTATCTGATGCACCAGTTTAGTCTAATGGAAAAGAGCTTAGAGCACCTTGTATTGCTTCATCAACCCCGTATAACCCCTCTCATCCTGAGAGCTATACTTTCATGGAATAAACAGGCTTTGTTGAGAAGAGTTTCTTTGTGTCTTTAAAGATGATTAACAAGCAAACTCTTTACTGGTGCACAGAGTAAATTCAGGAATTTTCACTTCTCAGTCTTCAATAAAACACATGCGTTCAGTCTGAGAGGAACAGCCGAAAGGTCTTGCAGGGACACCTAAAGACACTCAGCTATTGTTCGTATTATTAAACACATCTGTGCCTTTTTCCACAGCAACAATTAAAACAGCCTGTTGTGAGACAAAAAAGCTTGTTGTCATGAATGGTAGAGAACATCTCATCATGTATAGTTTCCTTTTTTCTTTCACAATATGTTACTGTATTTGTGCCTTTACACTAAAAACATGACACAGACTGTAAACATTACAGAACAGATTATAACATGTGCTGAAGAAAGGTCAGCACCGAACTTTCAGACACTTGAACAGAAGAGGAGTTCAGCCTCCAGAACTAACAGACTGAAGTGGAAGTGCTTCATGATGTCCTCCAGCTCAGGAAAAGGTCTTGACACTTAAAGTTCATCCTAAAAGGGAACTTGTCTGTATTTCTGAATCTCCTTTTGTTTTGTCAGTCCTCTGTTTTACCCTTTTCAGTGCAGAGGACTTTCAGATTAAGTGCCCTGCAAGAGTTTGGACTTGTCTGGCTGAGTTCACTTGTAGCATACAAAGGGTACTATTTTTTTTCCATTTGTGTTGTCACTAAAAATGTCTCATAACAATGTGTGGTTGACCTTAAAGATAATAGTAAAGATTAAACAAGATGTAGAAGACAGAACACGTAACACATGTCGCAATTTTTATTTGTACAATCGAGGAAGTTTGACACCAAAGCAGTCGTTCATTTCTGCTGGGACTAACCACAAACACCTGAATATACCTTTAAAGACATATCGGCATGATGCGAGCAAAGTGATATCAAGTTACTATGCATTTGAGTTTGCTACAGCTGCACTCTATTGTCAAATATGAATCAAATATGTGGCTTTATGTATGCCATCATTCCTGGAAAGAGGCTGAAAATTACACAGACTGCTTTGAAGCGTTTAATTCGAACCCATTGATTCAAGAACAAGTTTAGTTTGTTATCAAGTTTCTGTCATTTTGCACGGATTAATGAGTCTGATTACGTCTTGAGAGAAAGCAAACAAACAAAAAGCTCTGTGATTTACTGTGTGATAATGGATTATCATAACCTTCACTGTCAGGAGCCTAGCTGTGAGGATTTTTCATCAAACCACCCTTAAGCAGATAGATTCAGCATCAGTCTTAAGACCTTTGCTTTATCAGTTCAAGTGGGACCTCAGTGTTCATTTTTAGGACTGTACCTGTCAGAGAGTCAGCATGGAGGAAACACAGAGCATCAGGGAGGGAAAGTGCAAACAGGAGCATGTAGTTTCATTCATTTATAATCTTGTTTGTCAGTGAGCCGTCAGACCCACTGACAAACAGGCTCTCAGTCTAACTCAACTTGAGTGTAAAAACCTCATTATTTTACATTCAAGAAATCCAAAACCTGAGCCAGATTTTCCATTTCGTGTTAGACAGTATGGTTGACATCTATTCAGCCGGCAGATGGTCATCCTGATTTGAGACATTAGAGCAGGGGTGGGCAATCATGTGCCATGGAGGGCCGAGAGGCTGCAGGTTTTCTTTCCAACCCAAAACTCCACCAGGTGATTTCACTGATTAGTCCCTGCTCTCTGCTTGGAGGTAAGGTAATCAGTGAAATCACCTGGTGAATTTTTGGGTTGGAAAGAAAACCTGCAGCCTCTCGGCCCTCTATGGCACATGATTGCCCACCCCTGCATTAGAGCATGAAGACACATTTTATTTTACCTTGCCATTCTGAAAATGATCAGTAAAATCAAACCAGTATGGTTGGTTTGGAAAACTTTTAAAAGATTGAGTTAACTCCCATAAACGTACATGTTTTGTCATTACTTTGTTTCAGTTTTACATCAAGATATTTTGGCGACATTACAGCACTTGCTTTTAGTATTTAACTTTGTGATCTGACTGAAGAGTTTTGGCATGTCCGCCAATATTCAAACCAGGAAACTGATTGAAAAGTGCTGATCTCCTCTGTGTTTCAGTATCAAATGCTTTAAAGAAGTCTTGTTATCGTGGCATAAGCAGAATCCTGGGAAAAGACAAAAACATGGTCCTTCTGAAAAACACAAACTCTTCCTCTTTGTCTGGAATGACTTGAATAAGACTTATTTATTAACGAAGATCATTAAGTGTCCTGAACATTGTCCTCTATTTACACATATTAATTTCCTGGAGGGGATTCCTCTTTGGTGACTTGGACTCCTGGACTTGAACACTGGGGACTTGAGACTCAACTGTAAAACTGCCTTTAAAGGAAAGTTTTCATTTTTCATGTTTTAACTGAATCTATTCTATGACTTAAAATATACACTTTAACTCACTTTTCAATTCAACCCATTTTTCTTCAAGCACCACTGCAAAACAGACATTTGAAAAAAGCAAGACTTTGGCGCACAATATCAAAGTGCGTGAAGACACAACTGTCCTTCTCCTGTCAAAAATTAAATCAAAGATATGTTGTATAATTAAGAGTAAATTAATGCAAAGAGAGATCATATTTGTTTAGGAGAAACCAGCATGTAATGCAGCAGAAATAATCCCAAATGCAGCACAGGACTGTTTGGTTTTATTTAATTTACATTGATGACATGCAGTAACTTACACCAGAACACGTTTCAGTAATGAGACAGTTTCAGTGAACACCTTAGGCTTATTTTGGGTTTCACTTGGTTTCAATGTGATCAACATCTCCAGGCAATAAAATAAGTTTTAATCTATGGCAGGTATGCACAGGTTGATGTAGTACAATGATTTAACAGCAGGTGGCACTTGAGAGCCAGCAAGTATGAGGCATTATTTCATCAAACCAGCAAACAAAGGCATTATCAGAACAAACATAAAAGCATGCACTGATTCAATGAAATACTCACAGTCACATGTTTTGGATGCACGTGGTTATACTATGAAAATAAGAGAAAAGAAGCAGAAAGAGGAAACAGAGATTCACATGAAACACTCTCACAGGATGTATGAATGACTGCTTTCACTGGAGATGAGGAGTGTCGGCCTCTGAAATCCTCAGTACAGGAGAGCTGAAGTTGGATGAGCAGGGCGCTAAGTTGTGGGTGTTCAGATAACTGATCTTCTTGCTGCTGTCATTTGCTGATTCTTCCAGACTGACATCCAGAGAGTCAGGCCCACTCAGCTGGCTTCTGGGCTGTGGCGGAGGGACCAGGCCGTGCAGGAGACTGTTCCCAAAATTAGAGTTACATCGAGCCAAGTTGTCAGTTAGATGCTGCATGTACACCTCTTCCAGCTGTTTTTCCAGCAATCCATTCAGCACAGAGTTAGACATGGGCTCCAATCTGGATCCTGGAAGATCCAAGCTGGTGTTCACACTGGCCCCCATGACCAGATAACCCTGGTCTGGTATTGATGTCACAGGCTCACCTCGGAGCTCTTGTCTGGCGGACCATTCAGGCCGATCAGAGACTTCAGGGAGAGCATTGTGGGTGAGGATGACTCTTGGGTTTTGGGAGATGCGGCCTGAGTCAGCTACCTGCAGGTCTGGATATTGTTCCAAGAGGCTACAGTCCTCTAGACAAAGTGGAAAGTCAGGATCCAGTTGAAGAGCGGGTGAAGAACCAGGGATGAAGAGGCCTGAGGAACCCTGGGGCATAACCCTCGGCCCCTGGAACTGGTGTGGATCCAGCTCTTTCTGGTCCGGACCTGATTGCAGAGAAAAAAATATATAGTTCAGATGAGTTCAGTTTATTTTGATCTCTTGTAACCGACAAACACTGTGTTTTTAAGTTATGGGGAAGTTGAAGAAGACCACAATGTAAAGTTAGAGCGTAGATGGTGATTCAGCGCAGACATCAGTGTATCAGACAGTTAATTTAGCATTTAATAAAAATCTTTACCTGCTTCAGCTGCATCAGTCTGTGAGTCTGTTGAGCTCGAGTCAGAGAGGGTACAGCTTTTGGGCTCTGTTGGAGAGCAAGTCTGTGATTTCCTCAGTTTGGAGTCTGAGGTGAGCTTCCTCTCCTCTCTGTAATGCAGCGCTCGGAGGAAACCTTCAGCCAACATGATGTGGACACTTTTATCTTCTTTTCTGCCTCTTTTACCCCTCTTCCCGTTGTCTGATCGTCAGTCTGAGACGCAAATGGCACTGAGTTTTTGAGCATGTAAAAGTAGAGTTCTACTTGTCAGTTTCACTTCTGCATCTGCGAAGTGGTCCCTCCGCCTCAACAAACCCACTTCCTTTATTAATATATACTGAAAATAAGAGTTCAGAGAAAAGAGAACAGCATCAGCGTCACAAGTGGAGACATTAAATGTTAAACCCTGAGGAGCTGGATTTTCCACATACTTTTACTGTTGTTCAAGTCCTGATAAAACATCACAGAAATACTTGACGACAAAAGTAAATGTCAAAAAGCAAAAGTGTGGCAGTGAAGCTATAGGTATCGGGAATATAAACTGAAAATACTAGTCCTGGAGGCTGACAAGCATTAAATGTTTATGCTTTAACTACTTCATAAGGAGTTGGGTTGGTTATGGATTCCCTACCTTTGCAGGGTCAGATAGAAAGAGTTGTGAGATTAAAGGATGTCAAGGAAAGAAAAAGAAAAAAAAGCTTTGCTACATAAATTGAAGCTGAGCTATTACAAAACTCAAATGAAATCATGTGTGACGTTTAAGGAGGAAACATGCTTTGGCAGAACAACTCAGAGATCTGAAACATACTTGGAGCCTACTTCATACTCTCCACATAAAAGAAGGTCATATAACAAAACCTGGGAACATCATGTGTGCATTGATCATGGTGAGCTTTTGTGCATCAGTAGAGGAGTGAGTCATATATCAATAGCAGGTTTTGTAGTTGTGATTTGATCCTTGCATCCTGCAGTCTGAGGTGTCCTTGAGCAAGACACCGGATCCTGCAGAGTGTCTCTGCATGAATTTATAGAAAAGAACTGAGGACTGGGCACTATGTAATGATAATAATAATGCATCAGATTTTATGGCGCTTTTTTATCAGTGACCTCAAAGCGCTTTACATTGGATACATCATTCATTTGTTCCCACAGTCGCACCCTGGTGGTGGTAAACTACCTTAGTAGTCCCAGCTGCCCTGGGGCAGACTGATGGAAATGTGTTTTCCAATTCACGCCTAAGGCCTTTCCAATCACACACCAAACATCACTCACAATCACACACCAGTGGAGGACACATACTGGGAGCAAGGTGGGTTAAGTGTCTTGCCAAAGGACACAACGAACGACTAGAAATAGGATGGGGATCAAACCGCCAATCTTCCAGTTATTGGATGACCACTCTACCTCCTCAGCTACTACTGCCCCTTGTAATAACAGCCTTTGCCATTAGTGTGTGAAAAAGTGCACATGGCATGATCTGAAAATGTGCTCTGGGTGGTTGGATTGACTAAAAACATATTGCACAAGCCAAGATGACTTCAAATTTGACTCGAAATACCATAATAAACTGTAAAATGCATTATAAGAATCATGTGTTTGAATCTGGACCCCTTTTTAAAACAGCTACACTGCAAAGTTGTGGTAGACGGCATAGAGTGAGAGTCCTGAGACATGATAATATGACAACATTTAGGAGTTTGAGAATGCTGGTGTAAGGGCTTTGTACATAACTAACAGTGAGTCCAGTGTGTGAATATTTCTGCATTTAAATCTTATCGCCAGGTTTGATAGCATGAATGTTGTTGCCATCCCAAAAGTGAAATGAAGTAAATCAGGACGATGGCAGAATAAAGGAATGTATCCAAACCATTGTAAATCCTCCATCCAGATCCTGACTAAAACACCAAAAACGAATCCATGTGCAAAAAAAGATCATTCTGAATCTGTAAACTCAAAATCATTTATTGTGCATTTAAAATACACACAGTTTGTTATAAGAAGGCAGATTTCAGTCAAATTTTGTTAGGCTGAGTCACGCGAACATTACATTTCATGACAGCCACCACAGTGTAACAAGAGTGAAGATTGTAGTTTTATTTGCAGCCTGATTTTAATTTTATTACGGGAAGATTTCAACTTACGTAAGACAGGAATTACCAAAACCATGTGAAACAGGATGCTCCGAGCTAAACGAAAAAGCTGTCCTTAACCCCTACACACAAATACTGCAAACAACAACAACAACTCACTTTCACATCATATTACATGTTTGCAGATTTGTCATTTTGGCTTGTAGTATAAGTTCAAAACATACATCTTATATTGTATAAAAAAGATTGCCATTAAAACAGCATTAAGACAATATAAAGAAAACAATAACAGATGATGGAATTATAAAAGTTCACTTTCAAAGAAGGTGCTGCAAACTGGCAGGAGCACAACATGTGAGTCCATGTTTTAAGATTCAACAGTGAGGGCTTGCTCTAATCAAATCAGTTTGTTTTGTATGGTGGTATTTAAAGTGATGATCATGTAGTAGGACAGGATTTGATCAGACATGGCGATCTGTCGGCCATCGATCAATCTGGATTACAATTTTCAAAGTGTGAACATTTTGTTGTTTCTGATGGAGGAAGCTACACATTTATGCTAATGATTGATTGACATGTCATTAGGCCAATAGTGATGGCAGGCTGAGGTTAACGGGGGGAAGCAGAACAGTCTGTGGTTACCCATAATGCTCTGCTGTAGTACCTCCATTCACAACAGCTGGCAAGGCACAACTGAACACAGATTAATAAAAAAAAACAAAACGAAAAACATACTTAAAAAAAGAAAATCAAAACCGTCCACATATTTGTAAGCTGAGTGAAATGTTGCTTCTTTTTTTTTTTCCTGGATCAGTTCCGAGTCAGTCTGGGTCCAGGTCTGGGTAAAGGTCTTAGACTGAGGTCTCAGGTGGAAACGGTGTAAATCTGCTACTGCTGTGCTTTCTTTGCTAGAGCCTCGGCCTCCTGGAGACAAACAGACACAGAGACAAAGGAAGAGAAGGAGAAGATTGCGTTAGGTTAAAATGGAGGATATTGGTTTATGAATCCCCTGCCACAGCTACAGGAAAGCCCCTCTGTTTCTATGGTAACTGGCACACCTCCCTGCAGTTCCTGTAATGGCTGAGAGGAGGCACCAGTGTGCATGAGTAAAGGGGGAAAAGCAGAGGAGGCCAGCCTGGGTGTTTGAATATCATGAACAGATGTATTATGTAATATGTGTTTTCTGTATGAAAATCACACTGTGAAGATAAATATATATTCAGGCACATAAGCCGTTTTTACAGGAAACATGGTTAGGATGGAGGAATGCAGTTCAAAGAAAGGACAGACATCAGTGTGTTTGTGTTCATAAGATTACCTTTGAGCCCGGGGGAGCAGTCAGACCCAGAAATGCATACACGGCATTGTCCTCCCTGGCATCGAAAAAGGCCTCGTAATTCTGAGAAAACAAAGACACACAGAAAGAGAGAAGTTCAGGTGCAAATCCATCAGGAAAATCAGCTGCTCTCGCCTCAAGAATGATCATGGAAATCAGGTTTGGAGCAGCGCCTCAGGGTGACAATCTGAGCAGCACTGCCACATGGAGACCTCTTTGTGAGACACAGGCATTATCTGGGTTGTGTTGTTTGTCCAAAGACAGGCTTCAGTGGCCAAACTGACAGGAGGGTTTTGTCTTTGAGAATGTGGCCAAGAGTAAACAAGCAAACACATTCAACCATTTGCTGTTTATTTGTCTGCAGAACTGTTTTCTCTCCCTCTTTCTCTTCCTGATTCCTTGAACCTTTTCTTTCTTTTGTTTTTTGCTCTTTTCTCCCACATGCATACCAGGAGACACGCACACACAGCTGCAAGCATCCTGGGAAATGCTGTTCTCTTTGTCCGTGACATTCAATACAGCCCATCCCAAATGTGCAATCTCACTTACAGGCATCAACTGGCTGCACAGCAGGACGCCTCAGTACACCCGAACCACAGACCCTGAGTCTTTCTAATGGGAGTACATGACAGTGTTTATCTGTTCAGGGCTGCAGCCAGAACAACAACAACCTATACCTTCAGTGGGTGCTGTGATTTCTGATCCTGTTTTTGATCCGAGTTTATCACTTCCCCTGACAGTTCAGGTTGATTCCTGTGGATCTACCAGCTGCTACTGGGAATCTGCTTGACTAAAGCTGCTACAGTTATGATCATCAGTCATTATCAATGGATATTAATGCTCAAATCACAAATTTTAACCATAATTATTTGCACTGCTGTCACATGTTTGCATCATCTGTCTCACCGCCTACTCTTAGCGGATGAAGTGTAGATGACCTTTTTAAAGCCAATCCTAGAACCTGCACTCAACCAAGAAGCAGCAAAGCCTGGTCTCTCTGAATTTTCTGCAATTCTTACTCATTTTTTTCATATTTTCATCATAATTTGTCCACTTCTGATAGATATTTCTTCTGGGAAAGGAGTTTTTTCAGAAGAGGAGCTTTTTTCATTGAAACGGAGCAAATCTGGGTGGCAACATCCAATTCCCGCAGACATCTGGAGGTGTTTTTGTGGTTGCCGTGCTGGTGCACAGGTGAAGGCAGAGTTGAACGTTTGGGAATGGAGATATAAGCCCTCTCTTTCATCAGTCTTCATGGAAACATTCATTCTCTGCCAAACAAAAGTGATGAGCTGGAGTTATTGGTATTTAATATTAATATTAAATATTATTTAATATATTAAATAATATTTAATAAATAATAATAATAATAATAATAATAATAATAATAAATAAATATATTAAATAATATTTAATATTAAATGAGATGAGAATCCAGACACATGAATTTCCCTTTGGGGATCAATTAAATTTTTCTTGTATTGTATTTTTTACCACCAGTCTAGTGCTGCTCAAGGTTTCTGCCTGTAAAAGGAAGTTTATCCACTATTGCCAAATGTTGCTTGTGGTTGATTCATGTTAGGTCTAACTAAATGCTGCTGCAATTTAGATTAGAAGATCTGTTTTTCAAACCTGGCTGACATAGAGCTAAACTCCTATTGATGCACGTACAGTGTAAATATATGTTAAATATGAATCAAATCCTGTTGTTACAGGTGGTTCTCTCTCTGTCCCTGTCCTGCTCCAAGGCGCCATTCTCACCCTGAGTCCAGTCAATCAAGCTCACCAGAGGCTGAGTGCTCATCAGGACCTGCGATATAAGGAGCAGGAGAGGAAAGGGAGAAAGAACTTGTAGTTGAAATGATTCTTTAATTCATGCATTGACTGTGGACTCTGGCTCGAGCTGTGCTCGTCTCCTCTCAGAGAGAACAGAGGGGTGTTTTGGGACTTAGTGTCTCTGAGTTCTTTTGGTGTATTGTGACCTTTTATTTTGTATCTCACTAGAGCAGCCTTTGTCTTAGAATTACTTTTTGCTTTCTAATCTCTGCTTTTCATTTGTTTTTTTTTCTGTTATTGTTCATCCCCTCATCCTCTAATAAGTACCTCGGGGACGTTACAGCTGTCCGTTACTGCATTTAAAGGGATATTCCGGCATAAAATTAATTTTGGGTCAAACACACCGTAACACCGAGTTAGACACCCTGTTGAGAGATGAATGTTGCTGACCGCTTGCTTCTCTAGTTATACTAACTTTAGTAACGACCGCACAGTAGCAATACACAGCGGTCTATCACTCTACGCACAAACCTCAACCAAAACGCCACTCTATAGCCACAAATCGTGCTCAGAACAGCACCTAACTCCATCAACAGTACATATAGGGTCCCAGCCATAGCACTAGCCATCAAACATCTTTTTATCTTTGCCTGATTTCTTTGGCAAAGAGACTAAACACAACTCACCTACTCTCTTCCAGCAGCTGCTTGTTTGTAGTGAGACCTCAGACCAGTCCACTACAGACTACAGCGGGGGACGCAGCTCAAGGAAGAACATTTATAATTATTTCTTTATCATTTCCTTAAAGTAATAATCACCATATTAATCATTTTGCACTGCAGACACAGTAGTTCTTCTGCCTTAGTATCTCGGTCTGATTGCATTTCCATAAAGTAATGATCATAAATGTTCTTCCTTGAGCTGCGTCACCCCACAGCAGTCCATAATGGACTGGTCTGAGGTCTCACTACAAACAAGCGGCTGCTGGAAGAGAGTAGGTGAGTTGTGTTAAGTCTCTTTGCTACAAAAATTAGGCAAAGTTAAAAAGATGTGTGGTGGCTAGTACTATGGCTGGGACCCTATATGTACTGTTGATGAAGTTAGGTGCTGTTCTGAGCATTATTTGTGGCTATAGAGTGACATTTTGGTTGAGGTTTGTTTATGGCTCATTAGACCTCTGTGTATTGCTATCGTGATGTCGTTACTAAAGTTATCTCTTGAGGGGGTGTCTAATTCGGTGTTGCAGTGTGTTTGACCCTAAATTAAGGGTTGTTAAGCAGCTAAATGCTTAGCAATGTTCACCGGCTGAGTTGCTACTTGGTTTACATGCTGAAGTTGGACGGGTACATACAGCTAATAATGAAGACAGTATGAGAATCATAAGAGTGAGCTAATAATTGAAGAGAGGTTAAACCTCGACAGTAAGACGCTAAAGCAAGGGACTCTTACAAACTGCCATTTCAGACAGGTTATTTACGCCCCAGTTGCTCCTCGTCTGCAAAGCATGGAGGGGGAATGGTGGGGCGAAGTTGTTCCTCCTCCCTCAGAGGTAGAATCAGAGGCATAAGGAGGGGAAGAAAGTAGCAATGTGTAACAGCTGAGCCAGCAGGGCAGAACAATGCTGTGTGTGTATGTGGAGCTCCTGCTGTTTGTTTACATTTCATGCCTCTTGTGCTTCTGCAGGGCAGTAATGCAATGTGAAATCACACACTGGGACACCTAAATCACATCTTTGCAGGGTTCAGTATGTAAGAACAAGCAATTTCGCTTTATAGTGAAATTGTAAAGTAAGAGCCACAAATCTGAGCTCAAATCGACAGGGCTAGCTTCAGTGATAGCCTTCACATTGTGCAAAGTAATTTCTTTGTTCTTTTACTTAAAAAAATGTAGAGGGGCTTTAAAAAATAAGTACAGCTTTAAAAAAATAATAAGGGTAGACCCACTGTGCTTTATGATACCGATGTCCCCATAAAAGTGACTTATCAGAGGATTACTATTATACTACCATTAACATTAATGTGCCAATAACTCACAGGATCTAAGTACATGTTTCACTCACCCCGCAGTATTGGCTTTCATTAAATATCTGTGGGGGGAGCGGGTTGCCCGTAGCCGGCCTGGACTCCTCCGGAACATTCTCTCTCATCCACTTCCTGTTTGCCTCATTGGCTGCGATGTCACACTCCTCGAATTCGATCTTATTCGCTGCAAGGAAGCCCATCACATCCTGCTGCTGCTTCTTAATCTGCGTGGAGAAGATAGAGAGGGTGACAGAGGGGAAGTTGTCAGTTAGACATGTGTTAACTTCAACCTCATGAGGAAACATAAGGGCCTCAGTTCAGCATGCTGTCGTCAGTCTGCTGCTAAAATAAGGACACTTCTTCTCTGCTGTGAGAAATTACACTTCTGAGATAACTGGCTTCTCTGTTACTAAGTTACCACTCATTTGGCGACACATAAATTAAGTGATAAAAGATTGGTGAAAAGGGTGAACTCCAGCAAGGCTGAGCAGAGAGTGTTTTGTTTGCATGAAGAGGCTACAGGGGAGAAAGAGAAAGATAGCAGTCTCTCTGAATTGGACTTTTGATTTTTTAACAGGAAATTTTCCTCTGTGGTTTATAACAGAGGCACTTCAAAAGCATTTACGACACTTTGCATACTTTTTCGCTGAAAAGTTGCCAAAGCCTGTCTGCTTTAATAGACCAGATTGAGCATATTTCCCTCAGAGACAGACTGTGTAGTTACCACACACTCTTTCTCACTTTGTGAGAATGTCAAGCAGATGTGACTCTTTTTCAAAAGGCACCCTATTCTCACAAAAGGCAGATGTGTTTCATTAGCACATCGCAGTATTTATCACCTGTATCAGCTGTGACCATTCTACAGCAGTTCCAACTGCTCGGTGTAAATCTACACTTTCTTATTAGAGGATGCGAAAAAATAAACTTTATAAACTAACAGGAAACAGAGGTGTGTCTAGACTGTACTTTGAGGTGTTGAATTACTCTGTAGTGTTCCCTTTGTCTAACATACACTCACAAATAACAAGAGCATGGAGAGGCTACAGAGTGGATAGAACAGTCCAGATGTATTGCTTCTGTTTTTTGCTTGTCTTCATGTGTGTGTGCGTGTGTGTGATTTAGAGTATGAAATTGTGGCCCAATAAGCTCTCAGTGGGTGTGTTTAGGAGGGAGGATGGCCGTACAAGGCTAGACGGAAACAAGAGCTCCTCTGGGACTTGAGAGGAGGTAACTGGTCAAACACAAGCCAAATAAGGCCTGCTGCAAGGAGACACACATTCAGACTCAACTGCACACATGGGCACACACACACACAGACTCACACACATTTACACACCTAAAATCACACTCAATATGTTTGAGGTAGCAAGGCTCTGTACTTGATTATTGATAATTTTGTCCTCCTGTCTGGTCACACACACACACACATCTGTGTGTTCTCCTCCCGGCTCCACAGCTAGAAGTTGGGACAGGTGGATTATTTAACAGCCAAATTATGAAATAACACTCAGGCATGGAAATGAGGGTAGCAAGTGCTGGTAGCTTAACCTGCCATTTGAATCATTAAATGGCAGTTGAACTCTTTAGGCCAAAGTCCTTAAATCAGCTCTTTCCCCACCTGCTCTGGAAGCTAGAGTGGGACAAAGCAGCAGTGTGGAACGGCGTGAGCTCTGAGTCACTGTAACTCACTCTGTCCTTTTACAAAAGACTCTGCAGCCTCTTCTACTGTCTTAAATTTGGTACACATTACAGCGGTTCTTTCACCTAAAATGTTCCTGAGCCAACTTTTCTGTCAATTTCAAAATCAAAAACTTAAAAGGGATCTATTTTCCCCTCTCTTCCCCTTTATTTTGGCCCACTCAGACCATTCCCTCGGCTAGCCTGCATCACTGTTGCCAAGCAAAATTAATTTGTGGACCAGACTGGCCTCTTGCCATCCACTCCTTACTCTAATTGCACAGTGAGAATTCCCGGTTTAGCTCCTGTCAGCCTACCTTACTGTTCCTTGGTGTCTTGAGTGGAGCTCCAGGTGATTTTCATATCAAAAACAGATTGTGCCTGGCTCTGGGTGAGGTAATAAAACCACTCCTCTCACTTAGCCTTGTATTATTCTTGCCTTATCTACTACATCTCCTTGGAATGCCGTGAAATTTCTCCTCAGCCCCTTTGAGACAGACAACACAGAAGAGAGTGGAGAGCCAGTGTCCAGCATGTGGTCTCTGTCCATCCCTGATCTCTTTATAAAAAGGTCATAACAGCTGGTCTTGGTATGGAAATATACTTGACAATAAGCTTAACAAAATGCAAAAGAAGGACAGGCACTGTCACTTTGTTGGACATTTAAATCAGGCAGTTGGTTGTAGCTGAGTGACTGCAGGACTCTGATTTGAATGGCAGTTGGTCTACCTCTCTGATCCAAACTGAAACATCAAGCACATAATAGATAGCTGTTCATTTGAGGCCAGACACCTCGAGTGTACGGATGATGAATTTGATGAATGAGGCATGTCCTTAACTTTCTCTCCGGCACAGTGGTGGATGTGAGCTGCTGCTACAATACTGATTGTAGCATTTGGTTCAAAACACCACACCAAAGCCCCCATGGAGCTGCTAGTAAGAGTGCAGGCTTTTAGGGTGATCCTCAATATCGATACTTAATAATGCTCTATTACTTGCTAAAGCAGAACATTTAAGAAGTCCAAATACATGTCCACTAAACACAGAAAATGCCTCATTTATGATTCTTACTTCATAGAAATGCAATCAGACCGAGACGCTAAGGCAGAAGAACTACCTTGTCTGCAGTGCAAAATGATTCATATGATGCTAATTACTCTAGAAAATGATAAATAAATGATCATAAATGTTCTTCCTTGAGCTGTGTCACCCCGCTGCAGTCGTTGGACTCGCCCAGAGGTCTCCGTAAAAACAAGAAGTGGTTGCTAGGAGAGAGACGGTGAGTTGTGTTTAGTCTCTTTGCTAAAGAAATCAGGCAAAACTAAAAAGATGTTTGGTGGCTAGTGCTATGGCTGGGACCCTATATGTACAGTTGATGAAGTTAGGTGCTGTTCTGAGCATTATTTGTGGCTATACAGTGGCGTTTTCGTTGAGCGCGTAGCTCTGTGTATTGCTATCTGCGGTCATTACTAAAGTTGGTATAACTAGAGAAGCAAGCAGTCGGCAACATTCATCTCTCGACGGGGGGTATCTAACTTGGTGTTATGGTGTGTTAGACCCTAAATTAATTTTACACCGGAATATCCCTTTAACATTCTGCATTATTCAGCATGCAAGATGGCATGTGTTTGACTTTGCTGACCCACAATCCTCTGCGCTTGCAGGGCCAGTGAGAGATGTCATGAGTTATTCGTGTTGTGCAACAATAAGAATAATTAAAATGCTGCTAAGGACAGCGAACTGTAATAAAGTGTGCTTAAATGACGGAAAAATGCCACCGAACAGTCATAGCAGTAGGAAAACACAGCACACTGATAATTTACTTATCACTGGCCGTCACTTTGTTGTTATCAAATTCCCAAGACAGTCCATGTACACACCCATGGAAGAACTGAGTCATAAGATGAATCAGTGTGAATCAAAAAGGGGAGTCTGAAGTGATCAACACCCACATTTATATGATTATTTTCAATCAAAACAAAATGGTATTGATTGACGGAAGATATTCACAGATTGTTACAGAAAATCAGACTTGATTGTAAGAAGAATCTAAAAACTTGCAGATCTTGCAACATATAAACTATGGTTTACACTTTATGTCATTATCAGCATGTAAGAGCTGTATGAGGACATTAAGATCTGACCTAGACCTGATCAATTACTGAGAAAAGGCCGAACTCATCAAACAATGGCTGACATTGATTGGGTGCACTGTATCAGGCGCGGATCAATCAGTGCAGACTGATCAGTTGAATCAGGGTCAGAGTCAATGCATTTTCAATTTTCGCTTCCAGGCAGAATGTCTCCCTGCACTAAAAGTGACACTAAGTTGACCTTTTCAGAGGCTCAGTCTGACATTTAAAAGCAGCTAAATCCTTCAAGTGGACGCCATGAAACATACATAAGTCTCAGTCCCCTGTGTTTGGAAGGGCTTAAGGTTTCTCTCTTGATCAAATCGAGTTTGTTCTTCATCAAAATCTGTCGCTAACAGGAATTTTAGCAGCACCCGTTGCCTCCACCCAATCCTGAGCTCAGTCAGCATTACAACATTGTTACAAAAGAGCCTTACACTAATGCTCTGGCTGAGTTCCCACACTGCTGCCCAAAGGTGAAAAAAACAGTGAATAGCCAAAAGGAAAAAGACCTGATAGACACACTAACATACTCAGCTTCAAATCAGATCTGACCTATGGACCCTGATGTCAACTCCACGGCTAAAGAACAGCAATAAATCTGAAGCAGAGAACTTAAGACTTTGTTGTGCACTTTCTTCTCTTTACTGTACACACTAAAAGACAGTTTGCACAACTTTACCATATCTTTGAACACTTATTGTGGCTATGAGGAACTTCATAAAACAAAGTGTGTCTGTAACGTTTCAAGGGAAATGAGGTAGTAAATTTGTCTCTGTGCTAGCCAATGTTTTGGCACTTTCTACAGACATAAGCTACTTTCAGTTTTATGTTGGCCGAGTTCCCAGCAGTCTAGATGCACCACTACAGGTGTACAGTATGTGTGCATTTACATCTGTGATAGGTGCAAAAAAATGCTGGTTTGTTTGTTAAAGTTTGTCTCAATGCAACTTCAAGCACCAGATAAAAAGTAAAGTGGTACTCTTCTCTCCAGAATGTATGTGCAATACCATTGGATGGTCTCCTCCCAACTAAGGTTAGCATGAGGATGTAGGTAAATACATGGTATGACCTAATCTTTACAAAGCCACTGCTGGTAACACTAGAAGTCTCTCTGGAGGATTAACAGCGAGTCACAACACCATTTCTTCAGGTGACTCAAACACTCTGCTTCTCATTACTGGATGGAAATAAGATGATGTCAGCTCTCAGTCAGTTAACACAGATGCCAGCCTCCACAAGGAACTCAGCACAGGTCAGGGGTCAGGGTGTGACTAAGCTAGCAATCAGGGCTTTGCTCAGGGACCGTAACCTGAAGTGACTGTGGCAGTGAGCAGGATGGACACAATTTTTCTTTAGAGAGGATAATTTTCATCACAGATGTTTTGATTTAAAAAAAAGACTTTGTTCTTAATTTTACACTTCTAGATATAGTTTGATCAAATTTACATTTGATTAACAGTTCAACAGCCTTCCTTCAGGCACACACAAATTAATCTACTTTTTACTGTTCATGCAAATGTGATAAATGGAGGAAGAGTCTTGTTGATGCAGATCACCTCTGGTCTTTATTATCACTCATTTCCATACTGTACTTCCCTCCAACTGGCCCCAGTGCAAAATACTGTACACACTAGCATGCACTTTTAAAAAACAGTTGTTGCTTTATTTCAGACAAAAAAAGAGTTCAGTCCATTAAACCAGGGAAGACATCAAGATCAAACTAAATATATCAAATCTAAATAACATTTTGCTTTCCCTTGGATCAGATTCTACATTTGGAGCTTAAAATATGCCCACACACCAGACATTTACGTGCGCAAACAACAGCGCTTGCTGATGTAGCTGCAGAGCTTAATCTGATAAACCCCCCGGACTCATTTTCCACTGTCTGTCTCTTCATCACCGACTTGCCAATACTTTCTCAGAGGAGTAAGCTCTGAGTTCTGTAATTGAAAAAAGACAACTCTTACTTAGTTGTCTCCCTGTTTTGGCTGCAGCTCAGTTTGCATACTGAACTAGATTAGAGTGATTAGTTTGACACTGCTGGATAGTGGAATGAGATCACATTGTTTTGTGGTCACTGATGCAATCACACTGCAAGCTGCAGGGCAGAGGACTTTTTCTTACAAGTTTTCACTTGACAGCTTTCTGCTTATGTGAATATCTCCTTTCATATGTTCCCTTTATACAGTTGGTACATGGAGACAGATTATAACATTAACACTACATATTGAGTCCTGTGGTTCCTGTAAGCTTATAATGGGACTGCATTCTGAGTATCCAGGTCAAAGCATAAGCTGCTATAGCAGAGTGGATTGAGATAAAGCTTACATAATACTTTAATATCACCTTACTTCAGAAGTTTACACTGTTGCTTTTATGACAAAGAAAAAAAAAACACAAGAGAGATTACAGTGTGAATTCGACTGTGCAGCCTTTAGGAGGGCAAAAGCCTGATGCTTGTACTAGCAGACTCTACAAAAGACAGATCAATAAGTGGGAATGCATTTTCCCAGGCGGGATCCAGCCTAGTGATGGAATCATTTGCACTAAGCTCTGTCTGCTCTGACTTTACAGGAAGCTCCCGTCCTGTAAGACCAATGCAGAGCTTTTGTGAATGTCATCTACTGTGAGGTCAATAAAGTCACTCATGCTGTCAGACTGAAGAGGGGCTCTGTGCATGGTCACTACCTCTGTTTGTGAGCTGCTCAAAGAGGGTATATCATCCTGGCTGTGTTATAGGGGACTATGGTTTCTTCTGACACAAGGGAATATGACTTCTTTAATGACTTTTCTTGCTGTGCACTGCATTTCAGAGTTTCGGATTAAAAATCTAGACCCTCAGATACCCAGCTTAGTGCTTGCAGTAATTTGCATCTCTGAGTATGCTGAGAATCTTGTGGTATCATTAAGAAAAGAAAATTTTATTGCAGCAGTCTCAGACTTAGAGCACAGTTATTGTGCAAAGTTTAATTTTCCTTCTGATCGAGAGCTCCAACAAGTCCTGAACAGAGCCTAAGTGTTCCTGGGCTGCAGCTGCAGGTCCAATAAGGGGCCCTGGAGAATTGCATCACCATCATTCCTCTCCTGTCTGAAAGCAGACTGAGAAAGTGAAGCTGGAGGTCCTCACTGGCTGCAGAGTTGTGAATGCAACACTAATTACTTTCACTTGAAAGTCAGATTTCTCCTCCTATCTATCATGCACACTGTGACCTAGCATGCCCTGACATCAGATAACAAAATGGAGCACTTAAGAAAAAAAGATGTATTTTTACAGTCTGCATTTCCTGTTTTTAGCCCTGTTTTAGCTGAACAAACAAACAACTGTAACTATAGGAAACAGTGACAAACCACAGCTGAGAGACGTGTGCCCTACTCAGCCCCAAACTTCCTCTCTGCCTCATTCTCTAAGTGTAAGAGACCATAAAGACAGAGGGAGTAAAATGCATTAAGAGACCCCATCTGTGCCCAGCGTCTTGGGGAGGGCAGAGCTGCATGCTTACTGATGAGTCAGACCACTCCAGACTGAGGATGACAGCCAGATGGACATCAGAAAGTGAGTTCAATAAAAGTTCAGCTGCTTTGTCCTGCCTTACACCGCTGGATGCTGCACATATGTGTAGTTAAATCCTCACACATTAAGAACAACATTTATGAAGTCTCTTACCGAAGTGGATCCAGAGGACGATGCTATGTACACTTTGATCACCATGTTAAATCCCTGATGATGACGCGGGTCCGGTAGGCAGCGGTTTGGTCGCCTTGCTCCTCGCAGACACTTTGCAGGCGGATAGCTCGGCTGCGGGACAGAAAGCTACAACAACAAACTTCCCTGCTTGATAAGCTGTGTGTCTGTTGAAGGCAGCGCAGACTATCTGCGCAAATGCTCCAGTTCCTAGCACTGGATGGAGCTTTGCATTCCTCCTCCGCCTCTACTCTGCACCCCGCCCCTTCTAGTCCCTCTCTCCCCCCTCTCTCCCTCCGTAGAGCGAGAACACACACTCAGCGGCACGTACGTGCACGCACAGGGAGGTAATGGGCCTATGGTGGGCGATGGCAAGAAAATAGGGGGATATTGTCTAAATATTTCAGCATCGTCTCCATTGTCTCCAACCAGACTTTGACCATTGTTCTTTCTACTCAGCAAATGTGCACGGTTGCAGGTGTTCCAGTAAACTCTGGGTCTGTCTGTCTGTGTGTGTGAATAGAGAGAAAAGAAATCAAATTGGCTGTGATTTTGAACATTGCTACTGCTGCTGCTGCCTGGGTGCTTTTGTGTAACAGCACAGCCAGTGAAGCGCCGACTTGTTCAGCCACATCTTTAGACAGGCTTTGTGGGCCCCCTGCAGGCGTCTGGGGCAGACGACGCAAGGCTTTTCCCTGAAGCGAATTTAGGAAAGCCGACTGACAAACAAAAAAAATGTGTCGAAGAGGAGTGGGCGCCATATTGGACTCGTACACGAAGTGAATTTATGGTGTGATTTCTCCTTGTTGGCCGTTGCAGATGTGAACACTGGTTGAAGAACAGCCAGCACGAGTGCATGGCTGTCCACCGGGGCATGCCGCCTGCTAACGGGCCCTGTGAAACGGTGCACACCGACACATCGTGCGGCCTCTTTCCCGTTGAAATTCAACACTCTCGCATGAACGCAATACGTCCTCATATGCAAGCCTTTCTTTCTTGCAGGCTTCCTCCCATCTTTCCCTGCAAGAAGCCATTCGCGCAGACCCCAGATCATCACCGGCTCCAAAATTCCAAGTGTTCTGCAGCCCAGAATGGCGTCACCTGATTGGCTGAGAGCCTATCAATCATGCCTTTAGCCGCACCCCTCCCCCCATTCAACCACTCGCCTCTCTGTTCCAGTGTGTTTACTACACTGCCGAGCATAAGGGAGACACTCGTCTTCACATGCACTGAACCCACTAAGAAAAACAGTTTTTAGTTAAATTTGTAAGAAAACCTCCAAGAGATCAACATGCCCAAGAGAAAGGTACGTATTTTCAAAATAACAAAAATAGTTTGAAGGGGATAGAAGCTATAAATGCAATGCAAACGATTGTGAAGACATCCCTATGAGACATTACTTAATTATAACGCAATGTACGACCATTACATGTCGCTGGTAATTTTTGCCTATTTTCTGTATATAATGTACATTTTTTGTGTGTCAGAATGAATATTTTCCCGCTCGCTCACGGCTTATAAAACGCGTTTTCTTCATGAAGCCGCTGTCCTTTGGGGAGTCAGAAGTCTCTTTCGGTCTCCATGCAGTTAAAGCACAAGCAGCAGCCATGCTTTGCAGCTCTTGTCCACCTTCGTCGCCGACCTACCGAGAACAAACGCTCCGCTTATCGCCATTTCGCCACCAAACCGACCAAAAGTGCCACCAGAAAATGCCTTGGTGCCTTTACTTTGCATTTTGGCCGTAAAAACAAACATTAGCCATCGCGTTTCGATAAAATTGTATATTTTCTGTCTTTGTTCATAGTCCCAAATGGCTGCTATGACGCGGCTTTGCCGCCTGGTGGCGCCTGTGAGCTTTAGGAGGTCCCTCCCCCTCCTCAAAGACTCCCGCGCCAGCTTTCAAATCTGAGCTCCATGCATTGAATGAGAGAAAGAGATGGGGGAGTGAAAGGGAAAAGCAGGGCCTGGGCCCTCGAAATATGGCTCCAGTGGCCCACATGGCTTAGCTCTTATGACCTATAACTGAAACTATGCATTTGCCCCACACCTCTGGGCTCTAATCCTTAAAAATTACCTGTATTTGAAATATTTTTTTGTTTTCACATGAATCTTAAAAGTTTTTTCAACAGATTGGTAAGTATGTAAAATAAGTCACTGAGGCATTCAACAACTGTTTCTTGTCAATATAAACAACCTCCAAAGTCTCAATATTACTATTTTTCTATTTTTTTCATTTTTGACATTTCATATTTGTGTTTTTCTGTTACAGGGAGGTGAAGGAGGAGAAAAGGAGGAGGTAAGAGGGAATATGGGAGGTAACACCCCTTACATGTTAATAAAACAACCTTAAAGAGTAGTGAGTAGGACATGTTGGGGCAGTAATGGAAAGAAAGTGCTTTGTGTCAAATTTAAACCTTTATTTCTTGAATAAAGTCACAATCACTGAAAAAGAAAAATCTGATAATGATCTTTGTTGTTTTTCAGCCCCAGAGGAGATCAGCCCGGTTATCGGCGGTAAGAAGAAAGAGAAACTCATTTACTTTAATACAGATTAATAAGAACCATAATAAACAATATTAGGAGTCAAAAAAGTAGTTCAATCTTTGTTATTGACCAGATTGTGGAAAACTTTCCTTTAATGATAAAGAAACAAGTATGGGACCGAGTTTCAGCCTTTAAAGTATTAACCAAAACTACCTCACATATAAAAATGTAAAAACTGTAATTAGTGTAGAATTAGCTTCGGAATATGTGAAGAATATATGCATAGTACAATAAATACCAATAATGTTGTCTAAACTAGCTTAAATAGAAGGAAAAGGACCAATAAAATGTATTTTATAGTTTTTAAACCCAAAAGAATGATATATAACAGATAATAGCAGAAATGTTAAGAGCAGACATAGCAGAGGCTGTCAAAGGTAACAAGTATCTTTTTATATTTTCTAAATCTGTTCTTTTTAGTGTTTTTGTGTATAACATTAACCTTCTGATGTTAAAATCTGTTTTGTTCGTAGCAAACATCCAAGAGTTACTTCTTTAGCGAACCTTGCAAAAAAAGTTATCAGAAAGAGCAAAGAGGCGAGAAAGTTTGTTAATATGAAAATAAAAAGAGTTTAAGCCAACTTTTTATGATCTCATGTATTTCACAGAGACCTGCTGCGCCCAAGCCTGAACCAAAGGCCAAGAAAGCAGCAAAGGTGAGAGATACTACATTAAGAGATGCTGACATGTTGTTATTTGAACCACAAAGCAAAAGACTCACAGCCATGTGTTCGAATCGAGCGCGCTGACGTTTTTTTTTTACTGCCCTCACAGAAGGAGAAGGCTGTGAACGATAAGAAGGAGGAGAAGAAGACCAAGAAGGCAAAGGAGAACGCAGAGGCAGAGGCTAACGAGGAAAACCACTCTGAGAATGGAGAGGCCAAGACCAATGAGGTGGGTAGAGTGAAAGCAAAAGTTCTCAACAGCAGGGGGAACTTGGTAGAAACACGGCTTTAAAATGACCCGCGATTCTGACCTCTTTGTGCTTATGTCCCACAGGTGGAGGCAGCCCCAGAAGAGGCAAAGGAGGAGGCCAAGTCCGAGTAGCACCACTGCCCAAACTTCCTCCTCCTTTACAATCCCTTTTTCCCCCCTGAACCCCCAACCAGCCAGCCAGCCCCCCCAAGTCTCTCACATGGTTTCCCTCCAAGGCGTATTGTTAACAGAGGAATATTTTTATCAATGATTTTATAAGTATCCGTACAGATTTTTAGCACAAAAGCAAAGCTGATTATGGAGCGCCTTGCAGATTTGCAGTGGTCATATCAAGTGTCTGCAAGCAAGATGAACACACTAAAATCTTTTTTAAATGGCATTTCATGATTGTTGAAGGCTTGTGTGGTGTAGAAAGTGCGTCCCTGCCGGATTGGCTATGTTGTGAGCTGTGTACTCCTGTGTTTTTCCTTCTCCCCCCCATCTTGCCCCTCTCCTTCCCTTTCCTCCCCCCTCAGATTAGACCTCTCTCCCCCCTTAAAGTTCAGCCTTTATCCATGTTTTATTAACGGTTCAGCCATGTTAATGTGGGTGATTCTTTTAGACCTCTAAATGTGCAGTGAATTCCCTTTGCTTCTGTCTCTTGTTTTTTTTTTTTTTTTTTTCATTGAAATCGTGTTTAAAAAAAGCGTGTTGAAGTGTGTTGTCCATAAGAAAGAGGAAGATGAACATGTGAAACATTCCGGGAACAGCGATTGCCTCCAACCTGTCTCCTAGACGACCCTGCGTGTAAAACAGCTCCTGCTCCATCCACGCTGTCATGTCGGCTTTTCTAAACACTCTGGTTTTTTTAAACAATTGAATTTGGAAACCTTCTCTGACAAATGCAGGTGTCTGGTCCCTCTCTTATGTTCTCAAATTCTCTTAATAAAAACAAGTCCTGGGAATTTTCCTCGAATTTGTGTCTCCAGTTTGTTTCTTCAAGAAAAATGAAAGGGCTGGAAGTTGTAGCCTGCTCTACTGCACAATGATCAATCCCTAACAATACTTTAAATGTCAGGCTTGATCCGAATAAGTTTAAACTACAATTTAGCATCTGAAACTGAACTAAAACTTAAAAACAGTCTGCAGTCTTGCCCCTAACTTGGAATTCATCAAATCTCCTTTACAAACCACAAATCAGGACTTTCCTGTCCAAAGGAGTATTCGAAATTGTTGTTTCTGTATCAAATAGGTGAAAAGCATGGTCCAGACTGTTATAGCGTCCAGACGCCATTAACTCTACAATAGTACTGAAATCTAAGAGCACACAAATTCAGCATTACCTCCCAGAAAGCTGCAGAAGGATATAGATTCATTCAGGAAGTTGATTTATCCTGAGATCTGTAAGTGCTGAGTGTCTTAAGAGGCCACTCCAGCCAGTGTTGGGATATCCTTGTAAGATTTCCTGAAATGGACTGTGTCTCTTTTTGTGACACATTCTCTATATCCTCCATAATTACAGATTGACTGACTTCTGTTATTAGGCGCTGAAGCATGAGAGTGAATGACTTTACATGTCCTTGCTCAGGAAGGGCCTCCCTGTGAAGCCTCCTCCTTTAACAGCCCTCACAGAGAAGGGCGAGGTTATAGAGCCCTGCGTATATTTTCCTGCAGGGGCCTTTACCCTCAAAAGGGGCAGACAGTCTATCCATTTGGCATCTTTGTTCCCCATAGGCTTCAAATGCTCACATTTAACTCTTCACAAACTCAAGCGTGAGTGCTTTGACCCACATTCTCTTCAGCCCTCCAAGAAAATACCCCAGATTTATTTAGCAGCATCACATAAAGAGAGCGCCATGCCAGGTTTGTGCACACAAATCTGCATTTATCCGGTCATGTTAGAGGCCTGGCAGGAGCAGACAGGAGAAAAAGCATGCCGTCTATTAGGGCAAACACAAAAAGAAGGAACTACTCCTTCTGGGCTTTGTGTCTGTGTCTTTGCCCTGAGCTCTGCTGCTCTGTTAATCGGAATTGTGCAGCCTGTGTGTGTTTAGTGTGTTCATTCAAGACAAAACCCCACTCTGCCCTGTGTCAAAAATAGCAAGTGAATGTTTTATGAGTAGCTGCATGGTGCAAACAATGCCTCCAATGAAAAAAGGGATTGAACCAGCTTATTAGCAGCTAGTTTATACCCTGACAACAGCACCCTTTATGATAATGTAACCACAAACCGAGGCCTGTATTTTCTACTGCGTTTGGAGGTATGGTGGGTTTTCTCTGCTGCTCAGTGCAGTTGTTGCAGCCCCTATGACCTGCATTGTCATGGCCGAGCACCGGGCTCCATTTTGTCGATATTTTCTTGTCTGGTAATTTAAATGTTATTGCAACGCACCACCACTAGATGGCAGCAGTACACCATTTTTGATTCTGCAAACGCTTAGTGCTCGTGGCGTCCCATCAAGCCTGGGTTAACTTGACTTTTTATTGACTGCTGTGTTAAATTTTGTTCCCGAGGCACACAGCTATTACAAGCCCCTTTATAACAGTTACCTCACCATTGTAAAGAGCTTTTCAAAACCTTAAAAGCAAAACCCTCCAGGCTTTTAAAACCATTCTCTCCTCTTTGGTTTGTACCTCCCTCATATTTTCTTTCAAGTCTTTGTTGGCATCATCTTTTAATGCGATTTCATTGACACAACCAGACGGTCAACATCTTCTGTGTCAGATCTATACATAACGTGCAGTGATGTGGGGGATTAAAGGAAATAGAGTATTGATCAGACCAAAAGTTTCTTATTTTTGCATGCCACCTTCTTTCATCTGCGCACTTCTTGTGACATCCCTCAGCTCCTCCACCTTGATCGATCCGTCCATTCACCCTGTCTCCTGTGATCAGCTCTCTGACTCGTTAGCGGCTTTGATACTGAGATTCACACGCAGACACACAACCCTTCCCAATGCACTCTGAAATCAAAGAGCTTATTACTCCAATATTGTTTTATTTGTCGTCTGTGCATGCTTACCGCCTGAACTCCATGTTTGCATGCCTGCTTTACTGTCTGTTAGACCATCTGTCTGCATCTATTCTTCCTCCTCTTCTGTCTCTTAGAGCTGTGCCCTCAACGCGCACCCTCAGCCCGTCCTCTCTTACTCTGACGGGTTATGATATGTCGATTTCAGCCCCATTTCCCTTTTCAAGTTATGTGCATATCTTATTCTAACATCCCACGCATTCCCAGCCCCTGTCTCCTCCCCGCACTCATCCATTCACAGCCACTGTCCGCATCACTCTGTCATGACGGATCAGGCACGCAGGAGTGTGTGTGAGTGCGTATGCGCGCGTGCGAGAGAGTGTGTGCGAAACGTACGAGGAGGGGCGGAAGGAACGAGGATGACCTTTTACGAGGAAGTGATTTAAATGATGTCCTGTCGTCACCAGGGTTACCGGCGTGTGCATGTGGATGAGCATCTGAAAAACGCCTCAATTTTTTTTCTTCACATGCTTACACTCAAAGGAGGGACATTAGTAATAATCAAATATGCACACACACACACACACACACACACACATGCTGCCAACAGGTAGGCATACTGACATTTGAGTGGAAAAGCCAGAGATATACCAACTGTATGTCCTCCCTTCCCAGTGGACCTTGTGATGCCTGCAATGAGCAGATGTTTAGTGGCAAGGTTCTCTGCTGTCTGGATGACTTAAACTGTTTGTGTGAGACTCTCCTCTTTGAGACTGGCTGCTCTTCAGGGGTGGGGTGTACAATCCTGAGTGAATGGAAAGAGGCAGGGTGAGAAGGAGAGTACGAGAAAGTGCCAGGAGGTAATACGAGGGAGGGATGGGGGGGTAAGGGAGTAGAGGAAGTGTGCAGGGGGGGGATGAGCTGGATGCAGATGGGGATCTATTCTCTCTGCACACGCAGACAAGATGGAAATGAGTGGCCGTCTGTGACGTCAATCAGTGTAGACACATGCACACACACACCCGCATACACACGCTGAGACACTCCCCTCCTCCAATAGTCCCATGCTACTACATGCTTCAGTGCAAACAGCAGCAGTGCCACAGATCACAGTCATAAACATCAGCACACACAAACAGCCCCCACCACCACCACCACCCCTCATCAAATACAGCAGCAGTACACACAGACACGCAGATCTGAGTCTTATCTCTGACCTGGCATATGATGTCAGGCTCTCTCATTCATACAGTGATAAAGAGTAAACCATTTCCATGCCAGAAGAAGAATTAGTCATCGGATAAAACAACCTTCAAAGTTTTCACTTATAGGCAAACATGAAGCATAAGTCATAAAACCTGAGAGTCTGGAGAAATTGTGATCACACAGGAATAAACCCAAAAGGTTGGAATAAATCCACAGACCTCTGATTTTCCTATTCCACTTGTAAAAGTACAAGCGAGTGTGAAGATGCTGTGGGTACTCTTAAACCATGAGCACCTCCAAGTTTTGGCTTCAAGGACTTCCATTTCAGAATCTAAATGTTTCCTGTGGTGGTTGTTGTTTGTTTTTCCAGTGGGGTCTGACATCCTGAGTATATGATGCAAATCAAGCCAATAACATCCAGGGATAGTTTATTTTTTAATTAAAGTTACTTACTCAGCTCTTTATTTGAGTCAGTCACAAATCACAGAGGAAGCAGGTAAGCTGTATTGGGTATTAAATGAATTACTGGGAATACTTAATCTTGTTCTTTTGCCCATTGGTACCTCTTTTTTTGTATACCAAATGAAAGTGAAGAGGAAAAAAACCCTTTATCTTTCTTTGAGTGAAAGTACAAAGCTGTGAAAAATACATTCAAATCAACAAAAAGGCAATAAATTATATTCCACCACTGCTAATCCAAGTGTACTGGGATTTAATGAGGGGGTTGACACAATTTAATGTTACACCTCCATGGAGTGGATGAATGTTGTTTTGAAACTGAATTGACAAAGCACTTTGTAACACATGGCATGACTCAAACTAAAGCTTGGATGATTTTTAAAAGTTCCTTAAGGATATGCAAGTACAGTCTTAGCTTGTGGGAGTACTTATTTGACTCATGACAAACAAAGTAATCTGTGCTGGTACACCAACTCCTAAACTTCACCCCAGCCAGCTTCACCACAGCTGAGTTGCATCTCTCTATGAATTGTTCCTCCCTCTGTAAATCTGCTCATCTGTCCGCTTGAGTGGTCTCCTCTTATGTAAGTTTGCATCTTTGTCACATGGCTGACATTATGGTCCATTATGCTGCATTTAGTTTGCGTTATAAACAAAGCGAGGTCTCAGTGACCCGATAGCTCCTGAATGAATGAATTGAATATCAAGCAAACAGAAGGCACAGACTCCTATCAGGGAACAACATCACAATTTCCCACCATTTTCTGCGTCACTGAACAGTGTGAAAAGTGAAGTTTTGGTTAGGGCCTTACACTTGGAGCCTAATAATAGCACAGGCACATGCTGCATTTGTGAGTGACACACCAAGATGTTTGATGGACAGGTTCGATTCCTCAGGGGTCTCTGATCCAGGCTCCATGTATGGCATGTATCAGCAACTTCGCCTTTAAGAAATCACCCATCCATGTCACAGAGTCGTGACGACACACACTTCTATCTAGAGAAATGAAAAACTATTTTTGAAACACTCCACACTGCCTCCCCAATTTGGCTGTTAAGGATGAATTAACAGATAGAGTAAGAGTGCATCAATTTCAGTGTGGGGGTGGTGTGTGTGTTTTTCTGATGAGTGGGGACTGGATGTGTGAGTGTGTGTGTGTATGTGTGTGTGTGTGTGTGTGAGTGTGTGTGTGTATGTGTGTGTGTGTGGCATAAGAACTAAAGATGCAGCAGCCACTTTGCCTTGCCAATTGCTCTATTTCTTTGAGTAGAATGGTTTTCTTGGCTGTTTTTCATCAAGGTTTTTATCCTGTTGTACCCTCAGCTGGAAGAGGACTGAGTCATAGCCGTCAAGGAAGCAGGTGGGTGGGAGTCATACAGTGGGTGGGGTGGAGGATGTGGGTGGTACAGGTTCAGGAGGGAGACGTTGTAGTGATTCAGAAAAATATGAATGGATCATACTATGCATCTTTTCTATTACCTTGTTTTATGAGGCACCAAAACAGTAATTATCCCCTTAAAGGATCATTAACCCCCCCTCGAATATAATGGCTTTGTAGTGTTTTCAATAGCACATTCACTGATGTTTGAACCAGCTCTCACTTGATATTTCACCACTCTCACTTGATATCTTAAATAAACTGCTAATCAATGGGTGGATGCAGAGGAATTCATTTGGACATAAAAATGAGCAGAAGGTGGAATAAATTAAATCACTTCACTCTTCAGAGCCGCATGCTTCATGACTGAAGCCTCTTCTAACCCCAACTTGATGTATTTGTTTTCATCAACTCTGCTGAGAAATTATGCGCTCAAAAAACTAAAAATTTTAAAAAATTGTACACCAAATATTTTGTTTTTAACCTGTGAGAGATTATAGAGTGATACCAAATGGTCATAAAGTCACGCTGAATGCGTTGGCCAGAGCAGATAAGGCACAGAGTGACAGATGTGTGGGTGACGTTCTCTTTTTGTCTCTGTGAGTTTTAAACTGTTTGTTGAGGGTGGATGGGTGGGCAGGCCATTAGGAGAATTGATGTGCGTGTAGCTGTGTGTATGTGTGCACACACTCCAACATAAATGTATGTGTGCTCCTGCTCTCTCTAACATCACTGCTGTCGTCACTGCAGCCACCTCACAGTGACTCCCCTGTGACTGAAGGCCTGACAACCTCCCACGCTCTCCCCATCAACTCCCTTGCTCCTACTCCTCTCCCCTCCCTTTATCTGTACCTTGCCTCCCCACTCACTTTTAGTCCTTGGCTTTGTCTCCCCCTCAGTGCTATTTTCTCATCCATTTATCTCTGTCTACTATCTTTCTCTTTTGTTTCACCCACCTCCTTCTCTCTCTCTCTCTCTTTTTTTTTTTGCTTGTTTTCATCTCTCACCCCCTCATTTGGTGTGTGGGTCTTCCCTGTCTTCAGTCATGCTCTCTGCGCCCACTGCGCTGCCTGTTTCTGTCTCTATGGAAACCCTGAGTGGACAAGACTGGCTTAGAGGTCTGCAAGACGCTGATACAGACCCTATTAGATCACACGCTCGCATTCTCTCCCAGAGAGCCACACGTTTTAAATATTGGGCACACAAGCGCAAACCCATACTGTGTGAAAATTAATGGTGTGTCACACAAAAATACTGTGAAAATGCCTAATTTTCCCTCGTGCCTACGACTTCTCAATGGTGTGAAGTGGGAGGAAAGGATGGAGGCAGTGATAGAGTAAGGAGGGAACCCTTTTGTTGGATTATAATGTTGTTGTTTTTTCAATTACATGGTGATAAAGGAGACCACTTGCACATATTTTCACCTCCAGACACACAATCATGTGCACAAACGCCCCCTGGCCCTCTCGTGTTCTGACTCCCCTCTCAGTCTCACACCTCACAAACCATATTCTCCTCACATTAGCACATTGTTGAGTCTGCTGTGTTGCGTAAAACGTGCGTCATCCAGGTCCAAACATATCTAAAGGACAGGTTATTTGTGATTAGAGGCCTCACAGAGACAGAATTTCACAGCTTTTGGTCGCTCTCCTGAGCATCATCGCGATTTGACGGTCACGCTTAAGTGGATCAATGCAGAGCACAATCATGGGGAGGAAGCATAAGCTGAGTAGCATCATTTTGGAGGAGAGTGCATGGAGGAATGAATTAGAGAGGAGCAAAAAAGAGGAGAAAACGCTGCTGTCGGAAATCTTCTCCTTTCTGAGGTGAAGACTTATTTTGAAAAACATTCAACACTCACATCTGTAGATTTTTGAGTTTTTGTTTATTTTATCAAAATATACATGAATAAACTACAACAAAAGACTACATTAAAGAAGACATCAAAATGGGCAGCAATAACAGGGGTCAAAAACAGAACACATACCCAACCCAGACCGGAGCCCACCCCATTAACACCCCAGTGCAGTGAGATAAAGACATGCCAATGATGTCTCACATTTAGGCACTTGATTTTCCCTACCGAACCATCTTTGGTCATAGTTGCTGTTGCACGGCTTTGAACTGAGATTCAAACAGGTCTGAGGTGGATTTGAACTTGATCCATGTTGATTCTGACGGAGCGATTTAGAGGATGCTGACTTGTTGGATGACTTTCAATGTACTTCCTTTAATTTTGTTGGATTGACTCTGCATCTGCCCTTTTTTTTAAGAGATGACCCAAAGATGGTTTTAACCTGACCACCTCCATAGAGTACACTTTAGCATCAAAAAATCAACACTAGATAGTACAGTACTTCACATGATTACAGAAGAGACTCCACAAGGGAAAAGAATCAAGCACTACATCTGAACACAATACCTGAAAACAATGCAGTTGATCCGCACAAGATATACTGTAATCAATATGCTGTACAGTCTATTGCAAAGGCAATGTAGTTGGCATTTTTCTGTAGGAACTAACCAGTCTGATTAACACTGAGTATTTTCTTGGAAAGTCTTGCAAAAATAGATCAATTTTTATTAAATTAAAAGCCTTTGCTCTGACTTCAGGGTGTTATCTATGTATTAAGCTACTCATGCATTGTATTAATGTGCATACAGTATACTGTATGTATGCCTGCTCATGTGTGTGTATTTGTGTTGTGCATGCATGAGAATGTTCTGCTAAAAGTACTGTACAGACTTATCCCTCCGTTTTTTTTCTTTAGAATACACCCATTTAGTAAAGGATTAACAAAGTTACATTAAACTGTTTAAGAAGCATAGTAGTCACACAGTATTTGGCAGTGAGAGAACAGTCCTAATTTATCCATGCACGATATTAACCACAGGCAAGGTCCACATTCTGAACAAACCCTTCAAGAACAACACAGTAAGAACATGAAAAGAGTATACAAGATTTCAAGAACCTGGAAGTGTGTTTGTGGGTGTTTGTGTCTGTGTGTGTCCATGTTTGTTTGTGAATATGTCTGTGCATGTGTGTGAATGTCAACAGCTCAGCTGGCTTCCTAAGAAGACCAAAGGGCTATGACTCATGCAGTGCATACAGCATTTTCTGGAATTTGAACAATATCGGAAGAATTATTACTTTCCTACAAAGCCCGGATAATTACACATAATCATGTTAGAACCTTACAGAGAACATGGGGAGTTTACTGAAAACCTGATCATTCCCACCCCCATAGGTCTATTATAGACCAAACACTTAATCCCTGGATTGCATTTCCATTCAACAGTTTCCCTTCAAGGCAAGCACCTCCCTCCTTGACTGTAGGTTTGATGTGATTACATGTGTGTTTGTATGTCTCAGACTAGTCCGGTCTGTGTATGCAGGTGCAGCGGGTATGGTTGGTAAAGCAGAGTTGATCCCCCCTGTGGTATGTAGTAACTGCAGTAGCTGGGTTCTGCTAAATAGGGAGCACTGTGCTCAGCAAGGTATGGAGCAGGCTGGTAGAAGCATGTCACATGGTCTGTGTTGGGGATAATGTTCTGCTCGCCTAGAACCTTCAGTGCCAGCACTGTGATCATGTTCAGTGTCTGACGTCGCTCATGTCCCATCAGACACACAGTGCTGTCATCAACCACACGGCGCAGTGTCATCAGGTACTGGTACTTGCTTCTTTCCTCTCCGATAAAGTGGTTCTTCAAGTAGGACAGGATCTTCCTCTGTTGCTCCTGCACATCAGGAAAATCGATGAAAAAGCGTGAGCACATGTAGCGCTCCAATGTCTTTATCTGAGTCTCGCTGGCAGGGCGGTAGTCCCTGACCAGCAGGTTGCTGTATTTCAACAGGCCACCACCTCGAATTTCCTCAGGGTTTCTTGTAGCTATCAGACGGTAGCGCAGGTGGTCCATGGCTGCCTCAAAGTCACCATACATGCTCTCTGCCAAGACTTCAACGGCAGGGACCACACTGCATGCCTGGGGACCGTTGCTCTGTTCAGGCATGTCTGCTGGTACCTTGGGGGCCTCTTTGTTCTCAAGCATGGAGCTGGATACCTCATCTGCTGGTGGAATAGCAAATTCCTCTGGGTTTTCAGCCTGACAGTGAGGCAGCACATGTGAGGTTGGGTTTGGGATTGTGATTGGAAAAGAGACAGGCTCTGCAACCTGAGGCAATGATGAGATAAAATCTGGTTCTTTTTTATCCTCCAACACTAGGAGAGGAATTCCTGGCTGAGGGGAGGCCTCGGTAACTGGTTCCTCGCTGTCTGCGCTCAGCATCAAAGACTCTATGTCTGACGATACCTGAGGTACAAAGTCCTCTGACTCAACTGGAGGAGTGAGACAGAGGAGGGGTGGGCTGAGGCAGGGAGACGGCGGGCTGAGACAGAGTGGAGGGGGGCTGAGGCTAAGCATGGGAGGGGTCAGGTAAGGAGGTGAGCTGAGGCAGGATGAGGTAGGACTGACACTCAGGGGCGGAGAGCTAAAGCTAGTAGCGGGGCTGACAGTGCTCATCACCGAAGACGAGAAGCAGTGAGAGGGAGGGGTGGCACACTGAGGGGGGCTGAGGCTTGGGGGCGAGGGAGTGAAGCAGGGTGGGGAAAGACTGAGCACAGGAGGGAGGAGACAGGAAACAGGAGGGGTAACACAGTCAGAGGAAGATGATGAACTAAGTGTGGTCTCTTGAGAGTTTTCATCTGCCTGATCCAAGCCCAACTTTCTGGTTTGTCTGTCATCCTCACCACTGAGCTCAGTTTCTGAGGTATGTGCAGGATCTTGTGTGGCTGTATTGAACATATCAGTGTGTGAAACTAATGTTTCCTCTGGGTCAGGAGGCTCTGATTGTTTGGGTTCAGGGACAGGTTCTCTAGGGGAGGTCTGGCTCTGCTCTTCAGAAGCCACATGAGTAGACTGAGTCTCCTCTAAGCCCTGAATACTTGTCTCATCTGAACTCTCTGAGATCAACTGAGGAAGCTGTAGCTCTTGAGGTAAAGCAGACATGGGACCCACAGAAGGGGGAGATATATCAGGGGCAGGATCAGGAGCTGAGGTAAGATCTAGATTTGATGGAAGGTTGGGTTCAGGCCTGGGGTCTGTTTCATCAGACACACCGGCTGTTGGGGTAGTGGTAGGGTCTGAACTTGGAGTTGTTCTCTTGGAATTAAAGTCAATACCAGGTTCAGAGCAGAGGTTTGAATCTAGACAGGTATCTTGAACAGAATCACTGTCAGGAAATGGACTGGGGTATGGACTGGGGGTAACTTTCCTGCACATCCTCCGTGGAGGTTTAGGAGAAGAGTGTTTGAGCACTACCATGTAAGACAGACGATCTGTGGCCTTACAAGAAGAAGAAGAAGGAGAAGAGGTCTTTTTGTCAGAAACAAGGCTTGGTGGTGCAGATAAAATATCCTGAGTATCTGGAGGACTGAGGGCATCAAGTGTTTTAGGTGTTTTATCTGGAGAGTCATCTGTGTGAAGTGTGCTGTAAATCTCCTGTGCGTCCTGTGTGCCAGGAGGCTGTGTGTTGTGAGGTGTAAGAGACATGGAGGAGTTGGAGCAGGAGCGATCAATACCCTCGGTGTCCTCTACATTTTTTGCTTCTGATGCGGAAATCTCCTCTGCCATTTCACTGATTTCGGTATGATTTTTGCTCTCTGTCTGTTCCTGTGTCTCTGTCTCAACTTCGCTTTCATCTGCTGGCTGTGTCTCTATCTTTGCATGTAAAGATGTGCTCGAGTCTGGAGTAGATACATACGGTGTTTTATCTGTCTCATTTCTGCTCGAATCCTCAGTGAGACAATTAGAGAAGTCTGTGCTGTGCAATTCTGCAAGATTTAGTGACTCTTCCTGGGTTTCATTGGAGGATTTTGGCGACTCAGTCTGTTCTGTGTGCTCTGTGAGTTCTCTCTCTTCATCGGGGGGTTTCTGGTCTGTCAGAACAGACAGTTCCTCGTGATCTGAGTGTGGTGGTTGTTGGATATCACAGGGCTCAGTTTGCTCTACATTTGCCAAGTTTTTATTTTTTTCCAACAACTGAGGCCCGTGTCTGAGTTCAGTCTGAGTTGGTGGTTCAACTTTCTCTGAGTTTTGCTTCTTTTCTGTTAAAAGGTTAAGGGATGTCTGGTCAGGGGAGTCTGTCTCACTGAGGTTTTCTTTGTGTTGTGATGATCCTTCCAGATCCACAGATGTTTCTACTTTTTTGTCTTCTTCAACTTCAGTGTGTTTTGTTTGGTTTGAATGTTCAGTTTGATGCGAGAGATCTGTCTGGGACTCCTTTTCATGCACCTTGTCTTTCTGAAGTGTCAGACTGGGTGGGGTCTTGTCTTTGCTGGGTAAGTCCCTACCAGTCTGGCTCTCTGTTTCTGAACAGCTGGCCTGTTTAAGGAGAGAGGGAGAGTCTTTATGCTCTTTCTCGGTCTGCTGGTCTGCAGGCCGGTCTTTGAGCTCGCCAGTTTTGTTTTTGTGCCTTGAGTCCTGCTGCATGTAGGTCTCCAAGAGACGATCCAGAATGATCTGGAAGGAATCAACACTGAACTCAAACTGCCGCCTTAGCGCGCTCACAAATTTAAGCTCGAGGTTTTTCCCGCTGTTATTTGACAGTGAGATGAGACTCCAGCGGTCATGTTCATTGAAGACTTTGACCATTTTCTGGACATAGGCCTCCTTCATAGTGGCACAGCTGATCCTCTCCCTGTTGACCCCAGCAGGTAAACAGTCCAGCAAGCAGCCCAGCACTGACTCTTTGATCACCTGGGAGGAGAAATTGACAACATGACTGATGATTGCAATCTGAATGTATTGTTACTTTTATTATTGAACTGATAATTGTAGTGCTTGCATGATTTAGCTTTTCTGTTCATTAAGTATATTAAAACCAATATTATTGATTCAACATTTTCCGTGTACAACAGCCAAATTGTGGTTAGGACATCGAGGTGGCAACACATAATCAATACTGCAGCACCTTGGAGATACAATGTTGTGCTTCAGAATAATACAGACAAATGAATGGCTGTCAGTGGGAATGAACTCCAGTGCTCAGCTGTTATTACACGCAGCTGCTCTTCAAGCAGGACAGTAATCATACCTGGAACTCCTCCTGGCTGGGCAACTCAACCCCAAAGATGATGTCCAGGTCTTTGTAGCTCGTTCCACTGTCTCTGACGAGGACGTGACTGGCCGTAGAGCCGTTCAGACGCACATCTCTCACTGTGATTCCCTGCTTCTGAAGCCTGGCTCGCACAGCTATGATTATGTCTCGAGGACGCAGCTCCAATGTTGGAAAGTTTCCCCGGCCGTGGATTGGAACAACTTCGGACAAAACTTGATGGAGAACCTCCACCTGCTCAGCATTTAGGCTGTGGAACCGCTGACTGACTTTGGTTTCAGACATACTGTTGCCCTGAAAGGAGAGGGAGGAGGACATCAGTGAGAGTTTATTCTAACTCCCTTTCTATCTGTTACACACACACACACACACACACACACACACACACACACACACACACACACAGAGCACTCACTCACACTCATATGCACACTCCCTGCCAGTCTGCTGTCTGTAAGTCACAGCTTGGCTGACAGCTTTTCCACAATGCTAATGTAACTGCTGTGTTGACAAGATGACACATGGTGCGATACACATAGATGTGCTCTGCATAAATACGCCCCCCCGACTGACCAGGTCACAACCAAGTATTTGCTCTATATAAATGACAGAAAACAAACCCAAGCAATATTAAAAATTTAATACAATACATTCTTGCAAAACTTAAACAACTGAAAAATCCTACTAATCTACTGATTTAAAATGACTTTTCAGGATATTATAATAATGAATATGACAATGACATGCAAAGGCAAGCAGAATCTTTGTTTATTGATTGTTTCCACCAGAGGAGCAAGGGTTAAGCCGAATGAGTCATCACCGGCAGACTGCATTAATCACACCAACATCACTAATTAAAGACACACATCTGTTTTTGTGTCTGAGTGCACCACATGATATGTATATACACTACAAACAAAGACTCCCCCTCACATTCACGGGAGCACAGGAAAGCGGTAACTTAACATCATTGTAAATTGTTACACAAATTGGAACAAAGTGGGGTTTGATATCAGCCAATTATTTTCATTTGGCTGGTCCGTGTAATCTTTCAGGCAGTTGCGTAAAATTCTTTACATTCAGGGTGCATCAGTCAATCGGCACAAACTAGACCCAGCTTTCACCAAACAAAGAATCTGCATCACTGAGTCAGTCTGTAGAGTCTGTTATGTTTGTGCAAGTGCAATTGTAGGTGCACAAAAAGTGTTTCAGAGAGCCTGTGCTTGTATTTGAGTGTGCAACTGTGGTTCATAGCAGCCCATTATGATCTATTGTTTGCTCGAATCAATGGATGTCACTCAGTGCTACAGCTGAATGCTGCTGATTGCTATGATTTGTCAATACAAGCAAGGTAAACACTGTGATACTAATGAGCAGTAATGCGATGCTTTCTGGTAAGTTTGTCTGACATCTAAGTGCTATCGTCTGCAACAACCGCAAACAATCTATCAAAGAGAGTGTCTATAAACTGTCTAATTCATGCTGCACACATTTCAACAGTCACTTAAGGGCAGCACTTTACTCAATAGCAGTTAAAGAGGAGTACCTGTCTGCTCACTCAAAAACAACAGAGAACACTTACCAGTAGACACTGAAGTTAAGTCTGAGAACACATAACTCCTAAAAAACACTGCCATGGATGAGACATCTGTTTGTGTCCAGCTACAGCAAGGTAAAATTCAAGTTGCAGGAGCACAACCAGAGGTGGTTAATGTAGCCCCAGATGTTGACACTGATCATACACACAAAGAAAATGTTCTCGGGAGGCAGAGAAGCACTGCAGGACTGTTTTCCAGCTATCCCCTGTATCTCCCCCTCCCCTTCAGCACTCTTCTGCAAACTTGCAGCCTGAGTGACTCATCCAGGCGTATCGGCTCAGCACACATATAATCCTTGGTCTCTGAAAACCCAACAAATCAGATTGTCTAATATGCAAAGAACTGAATCTAAATATGTACAAACACTCACAGTGAGTCGGAGTTTCACCTTGTGAAATCTAAAAGTAGTATACTGGGGAAGAATTACTGTGTCCTCTTAGAGCTAATTTACCTATGCATGTCACTGACTTTTTCACATGTTCTGGTTTTCACATGTTCAATGCCTACATCTCCCCTTTCTCTTCTATTCACCTGGACAAATATGATTCAACTCCAAGAAGATTTTTTATAAAAAGTAACAATTTCCAAGTTCAAGTGCAATAATTGTGGACCAAATGCATAAAAAATCAGCTATAACACAAGTGTGATGTTTTCAAAGACTGCTTCTTCATGTATTTGGACACTATTTTGTTTGTTAACTATGAGTGTGGTTGTTTTTCTGTTTGAATCGACCCTGTATGATGTTTTGTTTAGAAACATTGAAAATGGTCCAAAGCCATGCTGCTGCTCACTCTAATCACCTAATCGCGCGCTTACTCACTCCTGAGATACCAGGTGAGGCCAATTAACCGCAATTAAGTCCCTGGTGCGATAACGGGTGGGTGTAATTCCAAGCAAACACATTAAATACCAGTATAGACACTTAATGCAACCAACCAAAGTACTTTAGGGTACGTGGCGTTATCGTCTTACCTGTTGCTGTGGCTTCTGACGGAGCTCCCGGCTCTACAGAAGAACTAAACCTTTAACATCCACCGAGTTTCAGTTCTGCTGAGTCTCGGTCTCTCCTATGGAAGGGGTTGTTTCTCCTCTAAAGTCCCTACCCACTCCGCTTAGTCTCGGTGCTGATGCGACTCTGTCCCTTTCAAGGCATGTGGGGCTAGAAGCTGCGCGCGAGTTCATTCGGGCGCTGTCCAGGAGCTCGCGTGGTGCTGAAATGAAGACTGGAATGAGTCCTCGCGCTCTTGTTTTGTTCTCCGGCCGCCCGGAGCGTAACGCAGTTTCCATAGCGACCTGCCGTCACTCAGTAATGACTGGGAAGTGTGTGTGTATCTGTGTGCACAACAGTCATTGGCCACAACAATGATGGCTGAGTTGTGTGATGTTGTGGTGGCGCGAGGGGGTTAATAGGTTTAAAAATAATGTGTGTGTCCCCCTAAAAAACAACACTTTTCGAGCTAAATATAGAGCAGAGAGAGTGAGACCATTAGGTAAAAACTTGATCATTATCGCTGAATCAATAGCTTCTACATTGGGAGTTGTTGAGGGACAGTTGGTTTAGCTGGAAGAGAAAATAACACTTTTTAAAATGTCTTTTCTGACTTTGTTTTTGTTTTTTTATGTGAGTCAAAGCAGGCAAAAATATGCTGAAATGTTGCCCTATGTCTGCATTAAAGGGAGTATCTGCGTTCTGGTGATGCTCTAAGTTTATCACAGGGGCAGAAAATCAAGGCAAACCCCTTTTAAGCCAAAAAAGGCCTCTTTTGTTTTGGGGCAACATTTATGAAACACTTCTCATTTACTTCTTCAGTCCCCCCCACGCACACATCATTATAGCCTACCTAGTGCTGTGTCCATACAGAGTATCAGCAACAGTATGACTCATCCATGCTTCTCCCTCCCCCTGACCCAGCCGATAATCCCCCCCCCTACCCTACCCCCCAATCCCAAGCCCCCTGTCACTGCCCGCTGTCCACACACAAACTGGAACCTCCTCCCTCTGTTGAAAACCACTGTTCTTGTTTGGTTGTATTTTCTACCCTTTATTTGTCCCCTTCATTCCTATAACATCTCCCTGCATGTTTTTTCCGAAATGAAGAGAGCGGAAGAGGATGAAAAAGTGTCACAGCTAACCGCGAGTACAAAAGGTCAATTTACTCTTTCACCAAAAAAGCACAAATGACGTCACTAGACGTGTACCACAACCTACCGATACCGGGTACAAACTATTTTTAGCCCTGGATGGGAACTTGTCTGCTGTGGACACGCGTGCCCGTCCACTCCTCAAACAGCCGTGACGTAGGAGGCGCGAGCACGCCGTGCGAAATCGTGACCGAGTGACGACGACAGAGAAAGGGAATCAGAGCGGTCTCATCCGAAGATGACACGAGATATTGCGATAGTTCACTGATTGGAGTCGTTTTGAACCTCTCAACATTTCTGCAAACTAGAGACGTGACAATGGATTCACACACCGGCTTATATTCTCTTAACTATTTGCAATTATCTGTTTAGGTTTCACAAATATGCATATGTTGGCAAACTATCCCTGGGAAAAAAAGGGTGAACGTCATTGTACTGCGCATGCGTTGTACAAGGGTGGATTTATTGTCTTATTTGCTAATCTAATTTATACACCAATGATTATGAAAACCAATAAAGCATGTTTCAATCACATTCTGCATATGGTCTCAACGCACAAGTTTAAGTCATTTTGGCCAATACTATGTCTAAATAACCGAGCTGCCTGCTCGCGGAAGTACTCTCCGGTGAACCCTCTTGACTCACTACAGTAGCGAATTTACGCGAGCTAGAAAATTCAAAATAAACAATCCTGGGAGATAAGTGAGTGTCCGGATGCAACTCCGTTTGAGTACACAACCAGAAAGAGGATCTGCTGCAGACAGAGACGTTCACCATGCCCAACATGGAGAGTATCCTTTGCTGTGTTTGTCTGAGATACATAACGGTAAACGCTGATACCTAGCTGTAGCGGTTGTTAGCTGTAGTGTGATGACAGCTAGGTTAGGTGCAGTAATGCTGCCCCGTTATACTGTAAAGGGGAAAAGTAATTGTTTGCCTTTTCACGAAGTAATTTGATGAAACAATGATTATACATTTACGACATACAAAACATCTTCCCAGCATTGATGTCGAGTGATTTTCCAGTGTATGAATCAGTAGGAGAGAGTGGGGTAAGATGAGTCATTTTTCATATTTCAGATCACTACATCAAGACAATCATAGTTTTGTCTCTAACTAGTGTATCTGTATCTGCAAACCAACAGAATGAGTGTAAACATAAAAAAAGTGGTCTCCTATGGTTAACTTACCCCACTCTTGACCCCAGCCCTCCCTCACCTTCTCTCTCCCTAAATAACTTCACATTCATGTGTGTTTTTCATCTATTAAACACTATTCAACTGGTCCAAAAATTATTATTATTGTTATTGCATATAACTGCTAAAAAGCTGTTTTGTAAAAAAAGCCATTTTAACATGAGAATGCCTTAAAGTGATTCAGAACATTCACAGCTTTATATTTGAAAAGACAAAGTAACACATTTCAACAATCTGAACTGAAACTCTGATCCTCTCATCAGACTCCTTTATGGCTCAACTTACCCCTGAACTACTATGATGAATTTATTAGTCCTCAAAACTAAAATGGTGGACTTTTATGCTAGGTTTTTGACCTCATGTTGTAGCTCATAGATACCAAAATTGATATAAAACAAGTTTAAAATGATCTTTTTTGGTCTGAACTCAATTCTAATAAAACTTAGGACAGACTAAATTCACTTTTAAGGGTGAATATTTTTTTTTTTTGTAAATAAATGTCTAACCCCTTCACCCATGTGCTTCTAACCTTCACAGACTCCATGAATTGATGCCCATCTCCTAAATATTTGGTCACATGATCAACTTCTTTTACCATTTCCAAGCAACAGGGGGTGACTCAATTTACCCTTTGGCTCAACTTACCCCACTCTCCTGTATGTGTTTTATTACTGTAATTTATGTCCAAAACTTGAAGGAATCATTCTTTAATAGCCAAACAGAACAACTGTTCAACCTCAAGTTTGCTGCCAAGGAGCTGCAGCGCAATTCCAAGAAATGTGACAAGGAAGAAAAGGCAGAAAAATCAAAAGTGAAGCAGGTTGGCTTTCTTTGTTGTGAATGTGAAAATCCTGATATTCAGTAGCAAGCTTGGTTACAAAGCAGCTGGACAGGGTATCCTTTTTATGAACTACATTTGATTTTAGGCTATCCAGAAAGGTAACATGGAGGCTGCCAAGATCCATGCAGAAAATGCCATCCGTCAGAAGCATCAGTCCATTAACTTCCTGAGGATGAGTGCCCGTGTGGATGCTGTTGCTTCTCGGGTTCAAACTGCTGTCACCATGAACCAGGTGAAGAGAACATGTTGCTTTCCACTGTCAGTATTGTATGATCGCAAAAGCAGCAGACTCAGTATTTCCCATCTTTACCAACAAAACTGCCTGTTTGATTTCCAAAGATCCCCCGTATTCTATTAAAATCATAAAATCAAATTTTTGTTCTGTCAGCAGATAATCTGCTCATTCTCTAATAGAACCCTGTTTCCAAAATGTTGCTATTGTGTTGGATAATTTGAAAAATTACATGAGCTTTATATTTTGATGGCTTTAGAAAGTTGAGACAGTAGTGATTTAAGACTGTCCATGTTATGAAATACCAAGGGAAAACACACCGTGGAATATCTACTATAGGACTCTAAACTGACAACAGGTTCACCATTCGGTATAAATACAGTCTTTCTGCTGTTTATGGTGCATTCATGTAGAGTTGAACAGGTCAGAAATATTGGCATCCAAGTTGGTCAATGTACATGAACACGGTCAGCTGAGATGACTCTCACCTCATGCAGCCACTAAAGGTCATGAAGAGGAACACCAGTTGTCCTTAAGGACTGCTGTGGCTGGTTAGCATATACACCTTAGCATGTCCATCTCTCACAGGCTAAACATCTAATAATTTTTCAAAGATGTTTTTATAATTAATGTGGTACATATATGACATCTGTCATATTACATGGCTCTCCTTTTTGCTGCTCCCTGCCACAAAAACACTGGAAACGGCAATCAGCACACAGTTCAAATCTTTGTAACTGAGACATTTCACACTCCTCTATGTAGCATTATGTTGTTTGTTGCTGTTACAATATTCTAACTTTCCACATTGAAAACACATGAACACACTAAAGTTGGAAAAATGATCCCAACTCGAGAACTGACATCATCTGAGAAGGGTGTTTTGTCTCTCTGTGATTGCGCCGGTAAGGTGTGCAACGATTCAAGAACATACATCATCAAAAGAGTTGCAGAAAAAAGGCAGATGATTTCATTGTCTTCAGTACACAATATACTTTAAAGAGTCAGAGCATGAGCTCAAGACGTGTGAAAGGATCAGTGCTATGGTATAATAAAAGATAACAAAGGAAGAGAAAGGTGTTGTCGGTGTCATGTGGCTGACCTTGGCTACAGTCTTGAGAGAGAGAAGAAGAAGAAGAACTTTATTGATCCCCGAAGAGAAATTCAATTGTCTGTTGTCTCATGTAATATGTCTATAAAAGTTATCTAGTATTTACATAAGAGTTATAAAGCCTGATGGCTGTTGGTACAAAAGATCTTCTAAATCTTTCTGTTTTAAATCTTTCTGTTTTGGGGGGAGACTGACACAAGCCTTTGTAGACCAGGCTGAGGTAGAGAGTTGGAGGTTGTTTCAGAGAAAAAAGGGGAAAAGATTCTGAAATCACATAAAGCCATTATCAATTCTATAGTGGGAATCACTGCATGGGCTTCCAAAAACATTGTATGTGATCATAATATGTTGCTGCATCCACAAATGAAAGTTAAACTTAACCATGCAAAGAAGAAACAGTATTTCAACCAGATGCTGAGATCTTTGTTATTAATCTCATTTCAGACAGGCTGAGGGGAAAATGAGTCTTGGGATCTGATGAGTACAAAAAAAAAACTCTTATACTCTGAATTTACGGTAGATCTGTGTATCCACATAAGATATTTTTCTGTGCTTGTGCTGAGTCTATGTGTTGAAATCATTTTAATATTAGAGAGGTTGCAGAGTGTGAAATTGTCATGGTAATATGACCTAAGTAGTCTTTTATAAGGATTCAGTGAGTACAGGACATACAAATAAAGGCTCTGATTCACCAGCATCATTAGAGGGGCTTCAGACTTAATGCTTATGGCTTCTCTCTCTGAGCAACTGTTGCTTTCCATGGTTTTGATTTGGGCCTCTTTAGGATGACCCCCCTGACATATAATAGAACAGAGTGTTTTTTTCACAGAAAAAGGTACACAGTGTGAAATAATCATTTAAAGTCTGTATGCCATTGAAACACAGTTGCCTTTCATATAAAAACATCATCACAATGGTAAACATCTCCAGCATAGCAAACTGGACTTCTAATAAGTTGTTCGTGACAAGTTTAATAGGTATTGTGGAAGAGTATTAGGATGCAGGGGAGTCATGAGGACGTGTCAGGTTTAAAAAAAAGTACAAGTGACACCTAGTGGAAGCAGAGGAATACAGCACCTAAATGTTTGCCACGCTCCCCTCTCATCTTAAACACTAACATCCTGCTTGAACTGAAAACAAATTAAACTTGTAACATTAGACAGTTGAGGCTTCAACGTTTTAACATTTCTATTTTTGTCAAAGGTGTCTAAATCCATGTCTGGAGTGGTGAAGTCTATGGATGCTACGCTGAAAAGCATGAACTTGGAGAAGGTAAAAAAAATATCTTGAGACCTTCAACAGACAAGGAAAGAGAGATTATGCCACTGAGATGTTTGGACTGTTATTTTCTGTATCTACCTCTCTCTGCAGATCTCTGCACTGATGGACAAGTTTGAGAACCAGTTTGAAACTCTTGATGTGCAAACAGCTCAGATGGAAGACACCATGAGTAACACGACCACTTTGACCACACCTCAGGTAATAAGAATAGACCTATGGAAACAAACTGTGCTCCTCTAGGTACACTGGTCAGACTCTCTGTTTGACTAAGTCTTTTGTGTCAATATTTAAGAAATAACAATTTCTTTGTTGGTCCCTAGAATGAAGTGGATTTGCTTATGCGTGAGATGGCTGATGAAGCAGGGTGAGTATGGCTAATTAAAAAAACAAACAAACAAGCAAGACAGTACCAGAAAATCTGGAGCCCATGAAGGGACATGGAAAAATCCTGAGAAACTTTTGAGGGATCATACTTTTTTTTTCATCCAGGTGTATTGATCATTTGAGAAGTACTGAAGGTTCATGCACAGATCCAGTCTTTTTGGGCTCATAACCCATTACCAGATCTTTGCCATAACAAAAGTAACCCCCCCTTTTTTAATTATAGTGGATAGACAATAAGACACATCCTTTTTTATCAGTACAAGAAATTCTCTGCTGAACAACTCTCAGTGACTGCCAGGTGAGATTAGACTGTCTAAAAATTATAACCCCAATCTCCCAATAAACTGGGATACAGTGTAAAATGTTGATGAAAACAAAATTTCATGGTTTGCTTATTAATTAAACTCTACATAACATTAGTATAACAAGAATTTGTTAAATGCTGCTTTATAAAAATATATTAGCTCTTGTTCAACACGTTTTACAAAAAAGACAGAAAATCACTCTGACTCTCCACTCCACTCCACAATCTTCGGTCATTTCAGAATATTGTGCTGTGGAGTAACAGTGTGAAGATTTTGGAAAGTCATCACCCACTTTACGTAAAATCATTAAGGGATTCAGAAAATTTGGAGGAAACTTGGGACAAAGGGGACTAACGCTGGCTAGCCATGATCTTCAGGCCCTCTAGAGGCACTGAATTAAAACCAGACCTGACTCTGTAGTGGAAATCACTCCATGGACTCAAAAACTATCATCTTTGATCACAGCTTGTCACTGCATCTACAAATACTGATTAAAACAGTACCATGCAAAGAGGAAACCATATACTGTATTTACATGGTACAGAAAAGCAGCTGACTTGTCTAGGCTCAAGCTCATTGAATACTGACCGAGATGAAGTGGGAAACCATCTTGTTGTCTAATGAAAGATGTTTTTTTTTTAATTTTAAGTCATTGGCACTGCATCCTCCTGTTTTTTTTATGGGAGAGCTTGCATATTTCACCAGGACAGTGCCAAACCACTTCTGCATGGAGTACCACCTTGTGACATACTGACACATGTTGGGTGGATGTAACAGAGAAAAGGAGACCCTGAACTGTTGAGTGGCTGAAATCCTAAATCAGACAAGAATGGGAGAACGTTTTATTTCAAAACTCCAGAAACTGGTCTCCTTCATTGTTCTGTATACAAGAACAGAACTTGTGAAAATAACATTCAAAATATGAACAAAGACCTCAACGTGCTTCTTTGAGAGTCGGTGAGGCTTAAGATTAATGTACCGCCTAAGGAAGGTGTATTAAGAGTCTTAACTGACTACCCTTAATATTTCCCATTTGGCCATTTTTGAACATCTAGTCAGCCAAGCAGAGATCATAGTGAAAATGTTCCTTTGTTTTTGTCTCTTGTTTTAGGTTGGATCTGAACCTGGAGCTCCCCTCAGGCCAGACTACGTCACTGGCTTCATCTGTAGCATCAACAGAGCAGGTGACACTTCCACTTCTATCTTTGTTCGATCGCTATTTTTAGTGTTTTACTTCCCTGAACAAAAGTCACACATTGTCTGTATTGTCTCTCGCAGTCTCATCGGTAAATATAAAATAGTGTCGCCCAAATTCAAATTTAAAGCGACAGCCCACTGAAACTGCTCGAATAATACCTAAGTGTGAATTACGACAGAAATGTAGGTTTAAACACCGACAAGTTCATCTAGCCTATCAACAATTTGCATCAGAGGAGTTTTGTCAATTCACTCCTGCAGTTTGTGGATTCAACATGTCAGAAAATATAACATCTCTTTAGAAATACAGTTCCCAATATGGACCTTTTTTATTTTCTCTTTAAAGTGCTCTGACTCTTGTCCCATTCCCTTATTCTTAGCTTTAAATGACAATCAACAGCTTTAAAATGGTTTGCTGTGTTGTGTCTCACCTCACTGAGAAGTTAAAGCAAACCGTAAGAGACTCCTGTCAGAAATTCTACAAAACAGCCTGTTCCTCCTTTTCAAATCTTGAGTTACTTAGGGGGAAGGATTTGCCTCAAGCAATCCTGGGTGGACCTTGAAGACCCCACCCTAGCCTGGAATTTAATCTAAACTAAAGTGATTCTTCTCTTTATGCATTATTCATTATTTTTTTTAAGTCAATATTATTATTTTTTGTTTTTGTTTCTTTGTTTTCAATCTGTATATCCTTGGTACCATTTTCTGTGATTGAAAATCCAAATAGAAACAGTCCTGCTGCTCAGTGCACTTCTCTGCTGTGGATCTGTTAGTTGAAAATGTTGAGAACAATCATTTTATATCCACAAATGATGTAATCCCTGCTGGTAAGATGGAACGTCTTGGAGAGAGACAGTGTTAGACAAAGCAGAGCATTCAGCCTCTTCTTTTTTTTAACCTAAACAAGGACTGTTTGGATCAATGTGATGGACAGCGGAAAAGGTGGATTATGTTGCAGGAAGTATTTAAACTTGAAGATGTTTGGATATGTTTTCCATTATGACAACTCACCAGTGGAATTTATTGTAACCGCCATAACTCAAGCTAACCACAGCCGCAGTTTGAAAGGGCATAACTAAAGACATTTAATCCTTTACCTTTCAAGCCAACAGGGGTTGAGTGATACTCTGAGAAGAATCACTTTAAGTCCGACTGCTTAAGCTGCCCTATTGAAAAAAACATTCTGACTTCAAGCTCTATCTAAACCAAGGAAGGTTTGGGATTTTCTAGGATTATTGCAAGCTTATAACCACTAATACTATAATAAAAGAAAGATCTTTTGGGTCTTAAAACTGAGATAGAATTATTAGTCTCCGAGCTGCGGCTGAAACCGCTATATAATCTGTTTCCTCTTACTGTTTCACCATTTTGTGTTGTCACCAGGATGAGCTCTCCCAGAGGCTGTCCAGACTGCGGGACCAGGTGTCATAGTGAAGTAGAAAATGACAAGTTCATAAGGAGGGAGAAGAAGAAGAGAAGCAGGAAGAGACAAGGAGTGAAAAATGGAGAATAAACAAAAAAAAAGGTGCCATGTGCCTGCAAGCTGTGTACCCTCCTTTGTCATCGAGGTTTAGTTTTAAAGAGGAATAAAGAAGCTGTCTAACAGCAGGAAAGCTCTGAGAGGTAAAAACAGGACATTCAATGTCCTGCTACTAACTGCATCACATGCAGACCCTCCATAATGATGTAATTTGCACACTGGTATTTAACATATAGTCAGCTTATTGATGTAAAAATCTTTATTTAAAGTGTTGAAACTTGAACATGATCCTGAGTTAGTGTCAAATAGTGACAATAGCATCCTGTTGATTTGCCTATACCTCACTCTGAATTGTTTTTACCCTGTATAAAATGCAAAGAGCAATATATTTATGTAACTCGTTATTTATTATGAACTGACAGACTGAATGAGTATTGCCTGTGTTGTAACTGTGACATGTTCAATGTGCATGACTGGGGATGTGGAGACCTCTAGTGTTCCTTGTCTGTTTCTGTTCCTCTAACAATCTTTGAGTTCAGTCTTGAAACTTATTTCACTTTTATATCGACCAAAAATAGGGCTCTATGTAAACGTTTGCTTGGGTATGCTTTGGAGAAAACTGGTATTTACAGATATTTTGCATGTAGCAGTTACTACTCCTGTGGCTCAACACTCACTTATATGCAGACCGGGTCAATAAAGGCTTTTACCATGTTTTACCTGTCCGCTCTACTTGTCAGTGTCTTGCTCTGTTTTGGCGAGCTATACATCGCTGCATACCTCTCTGTTCCTCCTTTTTCCATCCAACCCCTCCTCTCTTTGCTTCCCAACAGGGAACAGATGAGAGGTCAAAGGTGTCACCTGTAGAGGAAGCTGCCTTCTGCCGCTCGCATGCCAGTGACTCATTACACACACACACAAACACACACGCAGTCCACCAACTCTCTGGGGATGGGCAGGACTCAGCTGGGAGCCATTACAGGTGCTGTCCGAGCTCACACACATACCTATACATGAGCACACCGGCAGCTCCATGGTTGAAGTGAGTCCTCCAGGGTGACACCCAGCCACCTCTGACCCTTTTTGTGTCCTCTCTAATCATCATCAGTACACACTTAACTATGTTCACAATCATCATCAGTGCCTCTTGTCTGACACAACGCTCTATTTTGTCTAATACACACCTACTTCAAGTCCTCCAAAAAATGTGACCCTGCTAGTCCCAACAGCTGTCAGTCATTTCTGCCAGGAGTTAGATCATCTAAAATTAAAATTCCATGTCCCTATGCTGTCAAAGCCACAAACTCTAGCGGGTAAACTTTGTTTTTAACTCTTTTTTTCCCCCCTAATTTTTAAAAATGTCAATGGCCATCTATGATTACAGCCAAGAGAGTCTTTCACGGACTATTTTACCCTCCGTTTTACCCCCATTCCTCTCAACACATGCAGGGATGCCTCTTCCAGATGTGCAGGAGACAGCTCCTGTATGAGCACTGCTCTGGGAGAAACCTATGTTTGCATGTATGTGCGTGTGTCAGGTGTTGATACCTAGCTGCTTTCTTCTCCTCTCCTGCAGGAGTGGTACTCGCTGACAGGCATAGATCCGGTGGGCCGGTGGTCCTGTCCCCGTGGCTGATCTGTCTGCTGCAGGACAGAGAGGAGAGCTGTTGAGAGCCACACACACTGGCTCAATGAAAAAGCTATAATTACAACAAAGGGAATTGCTTCAAATTCCTCATGATTCATGCACAGGATATGAGATAGTATGTCCAGATGGTTAGTCATGAGCAGGGATTCAGCGGGAAGAGATGCATGGTGGCAGAGCTCCGAATTTAATCCCGAGAATAAGAATTACAGTACTTTTATTTTTCCGGCTCTGGTTTCTCCATTTTAAACTATTTGATGCATTTGTTACAAGGTATTTGTCTCAAAATTATGCAACTGAGCAGCAGGTAGGCACATTATTGAACATATTTGTGACTACTTATAAATATTAGTCAGAATTTTGATCTTTAACTAAATTCTTGATTCAGTTTCTGCTCCTTTTCTGTCAAACTCTGACCTACTTTTTGGAAATCTGTGTTTTGGACATTCTTACATATTGACTACCAGAACAACAACTATTAAATCTATTGAACTTCTGCGGAAAAAGTCTTTTAAATATTACCAACTATTTGACCGTCATGTGCTTACATACTATATCTATCTAGGTATGCTATCCCTGTGTATAAACATATCTGTATATGCACATTTTATGCAGCAGGGCTATGTGCAATTGCACTTGCACTTTAAATTGACAGGTCTGGGGCAAAGGTGCAATTTACACCTTACCATCACTTCAGCACCTGAACACGACAGCACTTAACCACTTGTCTTTGCAAAATAAATGACTTGCTCTTAAACTGGTTTGTTTGTAGCATAGTTGTAAAGCCATATTTTGTTTTGTTATATTTGGGTCTTTTTAAAGTAGTTATGTAGATCAGAGTCTGGTCCCTGTTTGTTGTCTGGTTTTATATAATTTTTTTAATTATTTCATTTTATGGATGTGCTTGATGTACGTTGATGTAAACCACCTACCCGTCAGGAACTACAGATGGAAATTAGGTTATGGTTACAGTCTGGCACAGTTACATACACATGCTTATGAATGTGTATCTATTCTCAACGTTTTTAAGACGTGATGTATATAAAAAATAATAATCTATATAATTCATCCAAAATAAAAAAGTCCTTACTTGCATCACTACTTATTAAAATATAGCTTTTTATGTGTCTTTCCAATAGTTTTCACCACAGCTTGAATAGAAGTGTGTCCTCGGCACCAGTTTGCTCTGATTAAAGTTTTTCAGATATTTTTGGTAAAGTTACTTACATTCAAAAAAGTACCCGATGTCCTCCTGTGAACTTCAGCTTCACAACAACCTTGATGCTGCAGTTTACAGCATTAAAGTTTTCACTTTTAAGGAAGTAAAAATACAAAGTTGACATTTTATTTCACATAAATGTAAGTGTTCTGCTTTTTTGTGGGTTAAAATTGTTTTAGAGTAAACGTTCAGACTTGATTTGTGTTTGAGGTGAGTTTCATGCAGTGAGGTGGAAGAAGCTCTTTTCTTTTACCCTCTTTCCTCTCCTTGTCATTTTTCTCTTCCTCAGCCTCTCGTTCAAAATATTCTATTACTACGTGTAGAGGGTCAGGTCAAGCACAGGAAGCTGAGCTGATTGGTTCTACTCAGATATCGATGGGCATGTGTGACCAATCGCTGCTGCCCAGGGCTTTCCCCAGTCTCCATCTGCTGTTGCTGTGGCTGATCAGTGTGTGTCTAATCGTTCCAGCCCAAGGCTTTCCCCAGTTTCCACTCACCTCTTGACCATTGCTTCCTGTCAGATGTGTTAACGCTGCTTTTAATCAGTTTTACTGTCTCATGCACACACATACACACACGCGCCGATACAGCTGGCCCTATCCATCCCTGCTTCCCAGAGCACGCTTCATTAAGATTTCACCTCACCCCCTAACCCAGCCTGTATCTCTTACAGTCAAACAACCCGTGAACATGGACATGTAGCCTTGTCTTTTACCCTCTACTGAGGCTGTCTGCCAGTCTCTGTTTCTACACATGTACAGTATGTGAAATATGAAATGTCAGCTATGCTTCAATATAACAGGACAGCTCTTAGTCTCACCGGGGAAACTAAAGCTTTAGGGAAAACACAAACAAAGATGAATTTGCATTTAATGAGTGTTACCGTTTATTATTTAAAGGCTCAATGTCTTTTCTTTCCCTAATGTGATCAGCTGGTGGGCCTCTTTACGTTAAAGGTACAGTGTGTGGTATTTAGCGGCATTGGAGTAGTAATGCACTGGTTGGAAAACAAAGACCAGAGTGGTTGTTTTTGTTGTTGTTGTAGGGTGTGTAAGAATTTGTATTAATAGACATTTCTGGTGGTGAAACCTGACAAATTAAGGCTCATACTTATGCATCACTGGAGCTTCACTGACAGGAGGAGAGAGCAAGGGAGTGTTTTTAATTAAACATCTCTGCACACTGTACCTTTAAGCTAACACCAACCAATGCAGCAGTAATTACCAATATCTTAATCTCCTATTTTCATATATGAAGTGTGCTTGATCTGCTTGTTACCTTTGAATCACACAGGCTACGAAAGCACCTGCAGTACAGACTCATTTTTGTGTATCAGACATATTGTGTTTTTTTTTGTCCTAATCATATTTAGCAAACATAAATCTGTGTATTTAATGCCTATTTTGCCTTTCAAAGATGTTTTAAAACGACTCAAATCTTTGCTATGTGACACCCTGGCTTGTGATAGTGACTGTCTTTGCTCACTTGGGCCCATGCTGTAAAAGTACATGTTTTATTTGCATATATTGAGATGTGTTTTGCTGTGAAAATGAGAAGGTTAAAAAGGTGTTACTCGAGTTGTTGACAAGATGATCTGATAATGAGGAAAACATGCAGGAAGAAAAGATTTCTATAAATAGGACAAGAACTGCTGGAATTACATTATTATACTGATGTGTGTGTGTCTGTGTGTATGTGTATGTGTGTGTGTGTGTGTGTGTGTGTGGTACATATGGTAAAACACTCTACAGGTCTGCTGTTAGTCACACTCCCGCGTCTCAAATTGAATTAGCGTTGACAGCACACAGCGCCAGCCGCGTGTTCATGTGTGTGTACACTGTGGCACAAGCTGTTGGCAAGCTGTCCATGTGTGTGTCTGTGTGTGTGAAACAGGAGAGAAAGAGGGCCTTCCCCCCTGAAATCAATTAAGCTAGTATAGGTTTGTAGTTGTGCTGGTGAGGGGGGCACATCCTGTAGAGGGCAGCCCAGACAGACAGCACCATCTGGGGCAGCAGGCAGGTCGACCCTGGGTTGAGACATGAAAGAAGCAGGGCAGGGATAAGAGGAGCGGAGAGTCCAGGCCAGCGTTAAATCACTCTCTTCTCTCCCCCTCTACCCTCACCGCAGCCCCTCAACTGCCATCCGATACATCAGCCACGGAGCATCATTTTCTCTCCATCTCTTTCCATCTTCTTCCTCATTCTCTCCGTTTTCGCCGCTGTATCTGTCCCAGGAGTGATAACCTGTCATACACAGGAAGCAAAAGAGGTAAAAACGATCTATCCTTCTGTCAGAGATAGGGGGAAGAGAAAAGAATATCTCACATCTCTTGTTCCAAAATAGTTGATTTATGGGTCCGTATTAAATAAAATCATTGCCAGAGAGCAGCCCCCTTTTCCCTCATATATAAACACACACTTTCTCTGTCCCACACATGTGCACCTGTAGAATCCCCCTCAGGTCCATCATACAGGAGGAGGAATTAGCAGACACACTCTCTCTCTGAGGGAAGGGGGTTGACCCCATGAGGGACAGCAGGGGTCAGAGTGTATGTTGTGTTTGTTGGTCATGAGCTGAGTGCTGACAGCCCCCCTCCAGCCACCCGGCACTTTTTAAACACTGAGAGGCGGAAAAAAAAAAAAGAGTGAATAGTTAGAACCAAAAATGGTGAAAGCAGAGAGAGACTTTGGTTAAACATGATCACTGCTGTATCTAAAAAGTTTAAAAGTTTGTGAAAAAAGTTGTTAAATAAACTCATACACTGCACCAACAATAAACCAGGAAAAAATGCACTCTTTAATAACAGAAGCATGTTAGTAAAATACACACAATGAGAATGCAGTATTGTCATATCAGTTTTCTACATGTTAGCAGTGTTGGACTAATGCTGCAGACTTTATATTTGTAACACAGCACCAGATTTTACATGTTTTCAGGTCTAATATTAATCAAATAAAGCTGTAATCAATTGTACTGAACTCTAAGGGTGCTTTCACGTCTTTATCTCATTTGCTTTGTTCTGATTTAATTCATAAATTTTTGCATAAATGCATTTTTTCTCAGGGTACTCTGTTTCTTCACATGGAAACTATAAGTGGCTGAAATATGTTAAAAAATAGAAATATAGTCAAACTTTGTAACTCACAATCCTCACCATAGTGATGTCTCTGACCTTGGCTTCTGTGCTCTCTTATATTTAGATTTTAATGCCTGTTGTGTGGTTTTCTTTAGTTTGTTTTTCTATGAATCATAATGCATTTACCTTTTATTACTCCACCATTGTTGACCAGCATTTTCGTGAGTAGTACTTTTTTCTTTATTTTGTACTCATACACTAAAATGCATAAATGCCATTACAGGCCTCTCTTCATGTATTTACGTCATAGCCTCCTTTTCCACTGTATAGGTAAAAAATGTCATGCACACTGATTGAATGTGGAAAGTTGGTTCAGAGCACTAACCTCCAGGTTTGAGAAATGAAGCTGATTCAGGAGAGCTAAAAAGCGTTTTGCTTGAGGCCACATTTACACCCACTCTAAAAAAAAATAAGCCCATCTTTGGAGCAAAAACCAACACATTTACACACGGCCCTTAACAACAATTTTGGTCTCAGCTTATTTCTACATCAGCACACACAGTGCAGAGGGGGGATTTTTTGATGACTCATTAGTTTTGAAGCATGAGTTTTGGTAAATTAGAGGCATGACTGACGTAACCGAGAGGTGAGCGCACTGTAGCTGTTAGTGAGGAACCTGAAGGTTGGCGTCTACTCCAGCTGTTTGCCTCATGGTTGGTCAACTGCAAGTTAGATTGAGTCAGAAATTCCAGCATGTAGTCTGCCATCAATAGGCCCGAAAACTCAGATTCTGAAACCACTGGGAGATGGCACACTAAGGCCACGTCCGTGTTTTATACAGTTAACAGTTCCAAGATGCTAACTAACATTAGCTGGTTAA